AGAAACATCACTACTTTGAATGAAATAAACGAATAGTTCGAGAACACCGATTTGCTGAAAATAATAGGATTTTACTACGGTATTTTAAGATAAGTTCCCTTATTTTAATCAGCGATAGGACATTTTAATGCTGAAATTACTTGTCATATAGTGTCGAATCTACCTGAAAATGTTTAAATTCACCCCCCAAGCCCCCCGGGACAACCCTCGAGAAATGTGTTGCGGGTTGCGTTTTTAGCGATTTTTCGCCTAAAATCCGAAACTTTGACACAAAAGTGGCAGTGGTTCCGGTCATCGTAGGTGGCTGAAATTTTTTGTGGGCTCTTTTATGCACCAACCACATACTTTCCAGGGGTAGCGAATGTCATGCGCGAAAAAAAGTTTTTTTCGCTACACCCTAAGAGACATGATAGTTAGTCCATCATGTACCCCCTTAGTCTACAAGAACCAATCATTTTGACCAATAGGATCACTCTATATTCTTTTATGTCTTCTTTGTCTACAAATTTCAATAATCGACCCGCAGCGCCGAATTTCCTCGACTTCTAACAGTGAACTTTTTTTTTTTTCTCTGCTGGTTCAATGGCTTCGTGTCTATAGCACCTTCAGCCAACTTAAGACAATGTTTAGTGTCCGTAGACATCAGGCTCCATGCTCCAGGCTTTTCTAATTTTCAGGGATTAGGACCGAGGAGAATCTGTTTCAGCAGATCTACTCGTCAATTCCGTGAAAATTAGACGCCACCACCGGGATTCGAACCCGGGACCTATTGACCTAGAGTCAGACGCGCTGACCACTAGGCCAACCTGGCCGGCCAACAGTGAACTTGAAAAGTTGTAAGCAACTCCAAGAAAGTGGTGAGGTGGGTCAGTTGGTCACTCGTGGGTATTAAGGACTCATTCAAACCTGAAAGTTGGTGAATCGAGCAGCCCAGAATCCGAGCCAAATTTCCCGTCTTTGAAGTGAGTTTTGGTGACGATGGGGGTACGCAGACTCCCACCGTTACGTCGTTACGTGCCAGTCGTGCCAGTCAACCGTGAGAGAAGGTCAATGGGACTCAGACGCAGTCTTGCCGGTTTGATCAGAGACAACAGCCAACTCAACAACTTTGGCACTGTGTTATCGCTGGGGGTAATTCGAGTGATGGAGAAATGGATTACATTTTGCAATAAGGAACCACTATCTCGGGCTCTTCTATGAAAGTACCTTTCTGTATTGGGAAACCAATGGCATAAATGTTGTTTCTAAAATGAGCCAGAAATGGACTCATTTCTGTCAAACGGAACTATGTGCATTAAGACATGAGCCTTGAGACCCATAAGAATATATGTATTACAGGGCTCACGTCACAATGCACATATAGTTGGATTGCATTTTGCAAAAAGGGACCACTAGCATTGCAATGATGCTAAGATTGTGCAACTTCATTCTTTGCAACAAAATTGCGGAAATTGTGAAAAACTATGCAATTTAGATGGTAATTTTTGTCCTAAATTTACAGTTTTTAGCGAGTAAAATAGAAACTATTAAGGGATAATCGGGTTTTTCCTCCAAGACATAAGAAGTTGCACAATCTTAGCAACATTGCAATGCTAGTGGTTCCTTTTTGCAAAATGCAATCCAGTTTTTTTTAAACCGGGCTAGAATTTATAGTTTCAAATTCCAAAATGTGGTCCAAATGGTGTTGCCTCTCTCAAGGACACACTCCTGGAGCTTTTTAATCACGGTGACTAGAGCGTACGGCAGTACGTATCCGTGCTTTACGCTGAGCAATCAGTGCAAATGTGTGTATCCCTGATTGATCAAATCAAAATGGAAGAAATCACGTTATGTACAACCGTGGCGGATGACGTCATATCCCGTGTTTTTAAATGAGCGACATCTCTGTTAATATTGGACGTAGAAACTTGACGTTGGAACAGATCTTATTATATTTTGCCAATCGATAAGCATAGGCGGATCGAGACACTTTGAAGTAGATGGGGGCGGAAAGGGTTCTAGGGGTGCTTCCGCCAGACAATTTTCGAAATTTTAAAGCATCTGATAGTTTGAGTTAATTTATTCTTCCTTTATTCTTCCTTTCTTCTTCTTCTTCTTCTTCTTCTTCTTCTTCTTCTTCTTCTTCTTCTGCGAGCGACTACACTGAAAAAAATGGTATGCTGTTTTAGCACCTAGGATGTCAAAAATGTGTCTGGTGATCCTACGATGCTGCCTTGATTGCCCACGCAGTTGATTTGGCATTCTTAGGATGTAAAGGTAACTGCGAGGGCAGTGAAGGCAGCATATTGGGATCACCAGACACATTTTTGACATTCTAGGTGCTAAAACAGCATATTACTTTTTTCGGTGTAGGGTATAACCCTGTTTGTCAAACCATCCAGCATCGAGCACATAAACATAATAAAAACAAAAAAACGATAATTCTAAAGGACTCGTCAAATTAATAAAAAGTCAATTTGGTCGATTCCGTTATGAATAATTACAAAATATAAGCGTCCTCCTTTCTTCTTTCCTGCGTTCTTTCCCTCTCTCTTTCTTTCCTTTTTCTTCCTCCTTTTTTTCGGTGGAGCGAGGGGGGGGGCCTCGTGAGTCCGCCCATATCTATAAGCTTAACCCATCAAAATACCATCCTGTGACTAGCGCAACTGTCCAATTGATGAGTTTATCTCAGCTCAGGCGGCAACACTGGGAAGTGGAAATTCGACGGTCGGTCATTACTCAAACGGCGGTCATAATGGAGGGGCTAGAAATTTTAGGAATGATGAGTGAATTTGGCGACGGATCAAAACTTATAAATGCCGCAAACCGCAGCCGGGCGTGAATGAAACGGCTACAGGTCCCGAAGTGTGTCAATCGGCTTCCCCCGATGCAACTGAGCGTCACGCTGCCGTGCTAAGGAAAAACGCCGTATGTACATTCAAGAGTTGCCAAATTTCCTTTAATAAAATTTTATATCTAGGGAGAGTTATAAATATTTTCTTCTTCAAATCAGATAATTTAAGTCTAATTACCAAGAAAAGTCTTTGAAAAATTGGACGGAAAATATTCACAAGTTTTCTTGAAAAGTCGTACTCAATTGAAGGAAATTTGGCAACTGACGAAGGTTCATACGCCATTTCTCCTCAGCACGGCAGTATGTGCGTCCTCTGCACTTTTATGCAGTTCGGGGTAGCGCCGGTGCCTCTTCATGCGCATCTCATCGGTCATGCGTATTCAAGATGCATCGAAACAGAATCATTTGTAGACGTTTTAAGGCAATGGATCACTAAACCTCGTGTTTTTTCATTTAATATCCTGAAATTATACCAATTAAGTATATTACGTGATGATTCGTTGCCCATTTTTGGAGCCAAAATCCCGAAGAAGCCCGCTATTGAAGAGTTCTATGACTCGAAGGAGTTTCAAACGCGCTGAAATGGGGAGAAAATGATGCAAAGTTAGTGGGATGTTTTACTTGAATTAAAAAAATCTTATCCATTAAGATTTTAAAAAAACTTGAAGCTTTCGTTTTGTATCTAGTGTCGCATATACAATGAAATTATACGACAGGTTTCGTTAAGGTTTTTTCAAAATAAACTGTTCAGTTATTGTAACTGCTGTTTAAATATATCTTTTTCTCCAATTAAATACCCTCCGTCTTAAATTCCCCCATCTTCTTACTTTAAAAAAAGAATATTGTCTTAGGCAGTGTACAAAACTTTCATGGTAATAATGAGGTGAGAACGTAGACTTCACGAGTTCGAATAACAGCGCGGTCAGCGCGAAATGCATTAGCGCCTACAAGACCGCAAGAATACTTCTCGCATTGCGCCAAACGCAGTGCGGCCACGGGAATACTTCACGCATTGCGCGCACACCACTGCGCGTCCTCTAATGGTTGAAAATTCGTAACTTCTCCGTGCTGGATACCACGGTTCACACCATTTCCGTCCAGGGAGCCTGCTATCCGCGGATCAAATGATCGTGGAGATTTTGCACCTCTGAATGGTACCTGTTTACAAAATGTGAGTTAACATTTTAGACCCGCCTGATGGATCGTATAAGATATTAATCTGATTTTTACCTGATCTATAGTGGATTAGGCAGGATAGGGTGTTCAATTTTTTCCTTTTCAGCAATGCATTCATAGCGATTTTGCATTATTTCATTCAGTTTTAGGTTCCTCTGGATGGGCGTTCGCGTTCGCGTTAAGATCCAAAAGGGACACGCGGTCTAATATGCAATTGACCTCGGTTTCTAACCCAATCCAAACGAAATAAACACATTTTATTTTTTATTAAATATTAAGTCGCGCAATTTTCACATTTCTCTTATTCCCTTATCTTACTATAAATGTTTACATACCTGTATTTTACTGTCTAGTGAGTTGCGAGTTGCGATTAATTTTTTATGGTGATTTCAGTTCCGAAGGCATACAAAGCTCCTCAGTTTTTGGAGGAACTTCGGGCATTGCTAACGGAGCAAGGGACGGTCTCACTGGAGTGCAAGGTGGTCGGAATTCCGACTCCTCACCTGAGATGGTTCAAAGACAAACAAGAGATCAAGCCGGGAGACCTGTTCGCCCTCTCGGCCAACCCTAAGGATCCGACGTCTCTGGGCACCTACATGTGTCAGGCGACCAACTGTATGGGCACCGCGTGTTCAGTCTCTAAGGTTAACTTCATCGGCAACCAGGTGCCCACGAGGTAATAAATTTAACTTTGAAATAATTCTTTCGAAACTGAATGTTTGATCAGAATAAATTCGAATTTAAAAATTACAAGCTGTAGTCAGAGGTATGCCATGCCGCCTACTGCTCGCACCTTCGGCATGTTTCGCCATGTGATCAAAAAACATTAGAGCCCCTTCAGTCTCATCTGTAGGCAAATTTAACTTAGATTGATCAAGAATTGTTGTATCGGTGCTTATTATAGCTACTCAACGAAGCGGTTGGGGGTCACGATGAAGGTCGGAGTGTAAAACTCACATTTGATTTTCTCTTATCCAGAATTTATGTGAAACACGAGAACGTCCTGACGGTATTTGAGAGATTCGCAACTTATAATATCATATCAGTTCGGCTATTTGTTCCAAAATTCTCGTTTCAAAAATTTGATGTAAGCACCGAACACCCTCAGAAATATTCTGTTCGGTAGAAAATTTTTTCTAATGCTGGAATCACACGCTGAATGTGGGAGCTGGATGTGGCTTGATTGTGGAAGGCATCGGCCCGATGCCTAAATTTTGCGCGTGTCGCGCAAATTTGAGCGACAAGGCTCAGCAACCATCGGTTAATGTAGGATCTGTCTGAACTATTCGAATAGATTTGACACAAATCTGGATGAAAATTACTCGAATTTGTGAAATTTCAGCCGTTAAGCGATGACTGTTGACTTCCATCATCAGCTGCCACATTCAGCGTGTGATTCCGGCGATATGGACAAAAATGAGGAATTAAAATATTCTCTTCGAATAAGATGGAGCTCGGAATTTCAATATTTAATTCCATACGAAAATCTGAAAAAAACTGATCAAAATTTGTTCCGTCATGTGATGACATGATTCTGTCTGCAAAAATCAGTTGATGAACTTCGCTGATCTCTTCATTGATTATACAATAAAATGAAACGACAGGTTTCATTAAGGTTTTTTTAAAATAAACTGTTCAGTTTTTGTAACTGCTGTTTAAATATCTCTTTTTCTCCAATTAAATACCCTCCGTCTTAAATTTCCCCATCTTCTTATTTAAAAAAAAAAGAATATTGTCTTAGAGAGTGTACAAAACTTCATAGTAATAATAAGGCGAGAACGTAGACTTCACGAGTTTGAATAACAGCGCGGTCAGCGCGAAATGCATTAGCGCCTACAAGACCGCGGGAATACTTCATGCGTTGCGCCAAATACATTGCGGTCGGCGCGGCGCATATTGGCGCCTATAAGACCGCAAGAATACTTCACGCATTGCGCATTCGAGTAAAAGAGGGAGCTCGGAATTTTAATATTTAACTCCATACGAAAATCTGAAAAAAAACTAATCAAAATTTGTTCCGTCGTGTGATGAAAAGATTATGTTTGCAAAAATCAGTTGATGAACTTCGCTGATCTCTTCATTGATTTTTGTTCCAGTCTCTTGCCACCTGGACCAGCCCCCGTTTTTGTGAAAGAACTGTCCGATCACAAATCAAAAATCGGAGAGGTTCTTGCGTTAGATTGTCAAGGTGAATTTGTTAATCTTATTTTAACCGCCATGAGTGGTCTACCTCTTTTTAAAGGGAATCATCGACTACATCAAGGCAGTTTTGTAATGAAAATGCATAGCAAGGCGTGGATAATAAGCCCATGAGTTTTTTCAATTGATTCTTAACATTTAATTTGAATTCAATGATCAACTTTTCGAACAATATTGGGGAAGAATTGAGCTTTACTTAATTTCAGTGTTTTCATACACTTTTATTGCTTAACGTGAAAATTGACACTCAAATGTTCGTGAGAATCTCATGACATGATTAGATGACTGATAAAATTTACAGCAAAACTATACATGATCTTACAGCAATCTGCAAACAGATTGATGGTGAGAGTATAAGTATGTACATAAAGCCATTCAATATTAATTAATGGTTATTTATTTGATGGATTTAAACAAAATCAGCCTTACTACGCTTCATGTTGCTTCGGTTTGTTTATGTTTTAGTCATGTTTTATTTTTTCAACAAAGCACTAAAATATTCAGGTAACGCCCTTAAACATTCTGTGAATTTACCTCGGGTAATGCAGAAAACGTTTACAAAATTCCAAGTTTTCGTGTTGCTTAGTTTTCTGGTAAAAAAATAAAATCTAAAAACAAAAGCAAAAAAAGGCAGCGTCTCATGTAGTCAGGGTGATTTATATTAAATCCCTCAAATGTGTATTTATAATTTATCAGGTCCTAAATACACGTAAAAAATGGATTAATTTTATTTATTAATTAAATTGTTAAAAAATATGTCCGACATGTTTCAAATGTACCTTTTTACAATAGTAGAAAGCTAATTTAACCACCAAATTAGCATTTTCATCGTAAAATCCACATTGAAACGTGTTAGACACTTTTTTCAACTACAAAATTGTTAAATCAGCGATTTCATTTTTTCCGTGTGTTAAAATGAAGGCTTTGTTCAAATGTGTGCACTTATTCTTAGTTACTCATTCATTTTGTTAAATATTTACTTTGTATAATAGAACTTATTGAATTTGTTCCTATCTCTGTCTTTAATTCGTAAATTTTTTCATAGTTGCCGTCCCGCCGTGGCCGAAAAATATAAGTTGGTACAATGAAAATGGGGTCGTCGAGGATAATGAAAAGTACAAAACGATGGCCGATGGGCTCGGCGGTTATAGTTTAGAAATTAATCCACTGGATGCTACCGATGCGGGCATCTGGAAATGCGTAGCAACTAGCGTGACTGGCGTCAAAGAAATTACTTCCTGCCATCTTGATATTACATGTAAGAGAAACTCACTTTTTACTCCGTCTCAGGGTTTAAGGTAAAAAAACTAAAAACTTAAAACTTGCAGAAGTCATGGCGATGTTTGAAGTTTTATATATTACGTTAGTTTATAAGTAAGTGTGAAATCATGATGTTTCAAAAAAAATTTATCTCGATCTTACAGCTACATTTTAACACATATATCGTTTTCGGACGATGGAACGTAACTACACTCCAAGGTTACAAACTTAATCAATTCAATTTCTTAAAAGAATGTACCTGTGCAATTTCCGTCAAAAATTTTACTAATTTTTGCATGAGATCAGAAGAATAAGCCGTAAAATTTTCAGTTAAAACTGCCCCAGATTCTTCCGGTAAAAATGCAATTTGCGTGGAGAATTTAGCAACATTTACGTTCATCCGCCAGGGAATCAGCGATATGTGCATAAAAATAGTTTGTAAGTATTTTCACCCAAAAATAAATTGAATTCGACAACAAGAGGAAAAACACTAAAAAATATGGCCCGAACTTGTTTGAAGTTACAGTAGTATTAATTTTCAAAGTGAGGAAACACACTCTTGAGTTAAAATCTATGTAATCTTTCGCTTCAAGTTCAAGGTTCTTCAATCTGTACTTCAAAAATTGTATTCCTTCAAGGGCTATTAAACTTGGTTGTCTCTAACGAATCAAGAACTATATCAATGAGCTAGAGCATTCAATTTGGACGTATTTCTGCTGAACGGAACTAAGTGCCAATTTGATTTTTTTGTGAGGATTTTAGAATCCCGGATAGCGCGTTCTGTAAAACGGAACTAAGCGCCATGGACAAGCATTGTAAGCATAGGGCGGGGTGAGTTCCGCGATCTGCAGCACCAAATCTAACCCGCAATCCCCTTCTTCCTCAAATGGCACTTAGTTCCTTTTAGCAGAACTACGTCCATTGAAGCTTCACTCTGAAAATGAAGGAGCAACAGGTCACCAAAATCATACAAGATGCAACATGGAAGCTTCAATTCCATCACAAATTCTCGGCTTAAGAAAGTTATGACTTTACCAGTTATAACTCATACTTAATTAATATTTATTCTTCTCCTTTTTACCTAGTCCCTAAAAATTACCGAAAGCCAAAATTCTTAGAAGGACTGAAAGCGGTGCTGACGGAAGAAGGTTTGGTGTCATTTGAATGCAAAGTAGTCGGTTTCCCGACACCACACCTTCGATGGTTCAAAGATGGACAAGAATTAAAGCCAGGAGATGTTTATCAGCTCACTGGAACTAACTCCTTAGGTAAATCGACAGTTTGTTTTTTCTCATTAAAAACGATAATTTCTTGTCCCCATTGAGGTAAACAATAAGTGACCAAAATATGGATTCAAAATAAATTTTATCAATATATGACCTAATCTTCTTAAAACAGTTAGAGGTATAATGATTCAAATGCACACGTAGAAGTGGAAAAATTGCAACTTATTTCAAATTTTAAGCTATTTCAAGCCGTTTGCCTTTAATCAGTAGACAGGCAACATACCCGATTACACACTTCGATACTGTAGCAATAATTCCACCATACAATTTCAATTTATTGCAGGGTCTTGATAGGGAAAGGAATATGATGAGCAATCGTTGTACATCAAAGAGACAGAATTTATTCTTCTCGTATAAATATGGTGTGTTTGAAGAATGTTTTGTATTAATTTTTCTCATCAACACAGGAGTTTGATATGCATTGAATACATCACCGACGTAATAGACCATTTTTTATACTTGGTAGGTAATGTGCTAACATTTTTTATACCTTCCTCGGGTACATTTTACAGGATCATATTGCTGTGTGGCTAAAAACTGCATGGGTGAAGCTAAAAGTGGTGCCGAGTTAACGGTTGAGGATATTCAAAGTCAACTGTCTGAAGAGGAAAGGCTTCAGCTTTTCTCAAATAATCAGCCACCTCGCTTTATCCTCGGTCTAAAAAGCTGCGAGGCAAAAATTAACGAAGAATTCCGCTTCACCATTCAAGGTAAGTTTTGAAACGGTTATCGAGCAAAATCAAAGCAGTGTGAGGAATCGTTATTAAAAAAATGTCAGAATTTTTTCGAGGTGAAGCCGATTATTTAACCGTGATCAGTAGGAGGGCTGCCATGATTGTAGGCTGAAATTCACCTTACTGAAACTTGAAAGTTACCAAACAGCAACTTGATGGCCGAAGTGGGAAACCACGTATTTCCGTTTGCAATGTTGCAGACTTCCTGTCATACATCATTCACTTCTTGCAAAGCTCGTAAACGTAATTTCTTGTAAACTTCGTTGATTTCTCTTCTCTGTTAGCAGGATATTTTGTTTAAATTTCAAGCTAAAATTGGAGAATTCGATTTAAAAATTCATGGTATCTATTGACAATGTTTAAGTTAACGTTTAGATTCTGAAAATATAAAGAAACGTATGGTAGATCAAGACAAATAGCTATACGTATCATTAAGATCCGGGATATGTAATAAAATCTGGTCTTTGAAATAGATAAGTTAAGGATAATATATTCTATACGGAAAAAAATTTAACGAAAAATTATGTAATTTCGTGTCAGTGTCAGGCTTTGGATTTTATCCCTTGATTTTGTTTCATGCACCTATTATTCATGCACGTATAATCTTGTGTCCATGTTGCTTTTTATTTATTTCAGTTAGTATTGCGCCAGAACCAAAAATCAATTGGTTTAGAAATGATGAAGAAATTCAAGACTGTGAAGATTATCAAATCGTTAAAGAGGCGCTTGGAGTTAGTCACTTAAAACTCAAGTGCCTTAAACTGATTGACCAGGTGTGTATGTAAGATTGTTCTTTAGTGAACTACTTTTCTTTGCTTTCCTAACTTTTTTTTCCTTTATCCTCTAAAGGATTCGTTATCTTCATCCTTTCGTTAAAGATTTTTCTTCAACATTGCATTTGGCAGGAAACGGCTCTAGCAAACTTTTTCACCAACGATTTCCTTCTTATTTTTGAAAATGTCTTTAAAGAACGGGCAATGAAGAGCCTTTTAGATCACAAACTGTCCAGATTTTTCAAATTAAGTAGGATGCAAAAGGTATAATATAGTGTGTATCATACTGAGGGGTCGTCCATGACCTTAGACCCTATAGGCGAACGACAGCTTCTCAGGAACACTTAACGTCATACTACGTTAAACTGACGTCATACCTACTTTGCCGTGCCAAGAAAAACCGCTGTAGGTATAAGCCTTTAGACGTCGCCTAATGTCCTTTTATAAAATATGAACTTCCCTAGAAATCTGTCAATATTTTTCATCCAATGCAGTATTTCAAAGAATTTTAATCGTCATCAGATCCTAATTACTTAAAAATTTCTAGAGAAAATACTCATAACCCTCCTTAAAAGTGAGCATTTTATCGGAGATAATTCGGCAAATTTTAAATACCCACACGCCGTTCCTCCTCAGCAAGGCAGTATTGCAACTACTAAAGTAAAACATCGTCATAATTTGATGACAGCAAGATTATCTCGAATTAAACCTGAAGGATAGCCGAATGATATGGAAATAAACTTTGTGAATCTCTAAAAAAAACTCTGATAAAGAATGAAAATTTGATGAGTCAGAGAGTTTTTAGGCATAATGATGAACTGTGATGGTGAGTATGTTTTCAAAGTGGTTGAAACTACTTGAAATCGTATTGTCCGTGTGTATCCCTCCATACTGTAGTAGACTATACACTTCATAAATAACTGGTCTATGATCATTTTCTTTATGGATGTTTTTTAGACGGAATGGAAGTGCGTGGCGACAAACGATTATGGTCAAAGTGTCACTTCGTGTTCCTTGAAACTGAGCATTCCAAAACATTTCAAGAAACCACGTTTTCTTGAAAATTTAAAAGCTGTGATGTCAGAAGAGGGGGCCGTTAACCTAGAGTGTAAGGTAAATGTCTTTTTAGTCTATTTTCAAATTAAAAAAATGAAGAAATGAAGGCTTTTAAAGAGTTGATCTCAAACATCCTCGTTTTCGTGTTTTTGTGCAAACAAGGAGAAAAAAAACATCATTTCGCTGACAATGCTTACAATGGAATCCAGGTCCTACCTACTTCTCCAGTTGTTGTTACCTACAATGGTACTTTTGTGATGAAAATTATGTCAGTCTTGGTAACGATGCTCCAATGCTGCCGGGACCGAGCTAATTGATACCACCAAAGTAACATTGTAACTACGATTGGAGTAGTGGTGGGACTACTATGTGCATTGTAAGAGAACGATGTTTTCCTCCGTGGACTTTATTATTCAAACAACAAATTGCAGGATTGGTTTTTCTTGCATATGTAGCTTTGTAAAAACAATGAACTGAATGGCTAGGCTCATGAATTGATGCATTATAGGTTGAAAACCAAACACTTAAGTTTAAATAATAGAGATAGTAGAACCGACTAAGGAAAACCCTTTGGCACTGTCAAACTAGAACATCGGACGGATAAGAAAATGTTATTATCTCGGTATATTTTTCCGTATTTCCCGAGAGAAGTCCATCGGAAGTTGGCAACCTCTAATCAGCCCTATGTTAACAATGTAAAAGCAACGCCAAACACCCAAACTTTAACTTTAAATATCTCTGATAGTCGCAAAAAGTCGAAAAATCTTTTTGGTAGGATTGAAGTTGGATATCTGAAGATTAAGAAAATGTTAACCACCCAGAGCATTTTGCGTTTCAAGCGAGAAATATTTATTTGAAGTTAGCGCCTTTTTCCCGTGTATTTCTTATTGGCCAGTGATTCTCGACCGATTTTCCGTCCACTTTCTACCCAAATTTAATATAGTTTTGGGCAAAAAATTTGAAAATGGACCATCATTGTGAGTCAGGAATATCATGAAGATGACAAACATCCAAAAAAAATATTTAATTGTAGAGTTGTGAATTATGGATTTTTGTGCGGCGCGCCAGGCGAGGGCGACCAGCGCGACACGCGCATAGGCGCCTACAAACCCAACAGGGATACTTCACGCATTGCGCAATGCGTGAAGTATCCCTGTTAGGTTTGTAGGCGCCAGTGCGCATGCCGCGCTGGCATGGCAGCACGCCGGGGCCGAATGGCCGTTTGGCTCAAATATTTAAACTCGCAAAGTCAGCGTTTATCAACTCATAATTTTGAAATTTTCGCACACTCCGCCTGGATTACTCTCATTTACATATATATGGAAGGAGAATATGTTCGTAAAAGATCTTTTATGCTATCAGCAAGATGGATTAATGGTTTCCCTTGTGTTGAGTCAAAAATGGTGTTCTGCTTGTAAATTACTTCTCAAAAAGGCTCAATCCTTTTCTCTAGGTAATCGGTGTACCACAACCGGTGCTAAAATGGTACAAAGATGGAAAAATTTTACAACCAGGTGATATTCATCGTATCATCTCGGGACAAGATGGAAAGTGCTGTCTTGGGACCTACACTTGTGAAGCTGTTAACTGTATGGGCAGTGTATCAAGTTCTGCGTCTCTTTTGGGCTTCGAGGGCAAGTATCACGGTTTTTGAAATATAAACGTGTGCTAATTTCTTCCTTCCTCTACATGTTAAATTTCATTTTCAGCACACAGATAACACCAAGAAAATCGCATATTATGTAATTGTTATACGAAATATCAAATATTATTGTAATGAAACATTCTAAAAGGTTATACAAATGCTGAGAAGACTGTTTAGGTCACGGCAAGCAAAAGCGCCTTCATTCCCATGTTTATGCAACATGGACAACGATCAGAAAATAAGTTTTGCCGAAGAAGTAGAAGAAGTTACATGAAGTTATCGTCAATGTTCTTATATTCTTGCAATGTAATGCCACAACGCAGAAAAATCTGCAGAAAGCCTTCTTCGCAAATTTTTGCAGGAAATCAGGTTTGATCGAAAAAAGTTAAACGGATCCATTTGTCTTTACCAATTTACTCTCCTAAGTTTAGTCCCAAAAATACAAATGAGCTAGTCAAGTAATTTTCAATTGTTTTCATGATTACTCCCAGATTTTATTTAACTCGCAAAAAAAAGAGTCCAAAGTTGCGTACCTACTTTCAGCTCCCATTTAAACTTGTTACCCTTGCAATACATCGGCGTCGTAGAAACTCAATTTCAAAGTGAACAATTTTTCAGGAAAATGAACATTTTTCAGAACCTTTTTTTTTTCAGGAAAATGAACATTTTTCAGAACCTTTTTTTTTCAGAAAAATAAACATTTTCTTCGGGAAAATGATCATTTTATTCTGCTTAAAATTTCAGATCGAGCACAAGTTGTCGACAGCCGGCCTCCAGCAGATCTACACGTAACGCGAGACTTATCCTTATCCACAATTCAAGAAGAGCGAACTTCTCAAATGTATGAAACTGAACATACTTTGACCGCCGATGACCGAGAGGTGTCGTTCTCTTTCGACGGCAAAGAAGTGTCCGTTTCTCTCTATGAAACGCCTGATCTAACGGAAGAGGAGGCTTTACAAATAGTTGAGATGTATGCAGAAGAGCTGTCAGAGCATATTTCAGGTTGGTTTGCATTTCCTGTATCCTTGTAATTTAACCCAAGGCTCCTCTGTTAATAAGGATACCTTCGCCCATTTCGAAAATTTGGATTACTGTTTTTTGACTCTTGAGTCTTCAAAATTTAAAACGCCAAGCTAATGATACAGTGCACCTCAAAACCTCAAAGTACTCTTTCAATGCCCGGCAAATGAACAAAAAATGGATAAATGTATAAAACAGAGAACCAGAACAGCAAATCAGAATTAAATCATTACTCCAACTAGAATGCCGTGAATAATTTGAAATCATGAAGACGCTACAACATCAGCTTTTTTTAATGTGAAAATCCGATGAATTTTCTGACAGTGAGAAAAAAATTGGAAAAATGGGGGAAATGATTATTGAACGAATAAAGTTTAATATGGAGGGAGGGGAGGACTACACCATGATTTGCCAAATGAAATATTTCCGTGGAACAATTTTACAGAGCTGGGATGTGTCACAGTATTTTATTTTCCTATGACTCTGGATCATAATTTTAAAATCAGTTTTGGCAATTTTAACCCATTTAAATGAGCACAAACTATTGGTTTGACGAAAGATCTCGACAAACACTCGTACATGTTTGGTGCCGAACCGAGTTTTAAAATTTTTAATCAGGTCAATTTGTATCATGTCCATACACAGAAAAATGAAAGGATAATGAATGGGTCCGTTGCGCTGGTTATAGAATTGTGTTTTGATGATTTAATCTTGCAGATCAACCAAAAATAATAAGACCTGTCCAAACAGCAGCTTCATTAATTCTTATTTTAAATTTAATTTCAGAGCATAATGTCATCGACTTACCACCCTTACGTTTCGTGAAAGAGACGTCCACGTCCGGAAATCTTCTCATGGAAGCGGTCGTAATTGACGTCACCACCGATTTCTGTGGCCCAGCTGAGGACGATCTCCGAACCGATGCCGATTTCGAAGAAATTTCGATTGCTGAGGAGTATTCGCAAAGACCAATGGAAGACTTCGACGACAGCGTGTTTTCGGAGCGACAACGCGAAGCAAGCATCGTCTCCACGGTGACTCACTCCGATGGTAAAGTCACTTTGGCTCCGAAAAAACCTCCAAGGAAGAGGTCCGATAATAGCGAGAGTTTATCCCATAAAACTAGTGACTCATTCTCTGATGCTGTGACTCAGTTATCTGATGACATGGAAAGCTATAAAAGTGCCATCGGTAGCCTGGCCAGCAAATCAGATAGGAAAAGATCTAAATCTGACGAGGATAGTAGTGAGCATGACAATAAATCGAAAAGAATTAAAGACAAAGATGGTGCAGAGGAAGAGCTTTCAATGAAGAAAGCTTTTGAGGTCTCTGCGATGAAGCCCTCAACAGAACCTATGGATGTTGATGTGCAAGAGTTACCTTCAATTCTGAAAAAGTCAAAAGTCACCGACTTGGATTCGGATTCTCCTATGAAAGGTAAGAAGGATGACAGTCAGGAAGGAAGAAGAAACTCGAAAGAAAAGGTCTCAAGTCGCAAGAGCTCCTCAGATTCTAATAAAGGCAGGAAAAGCTCTGATGCCTCCAGCGCAGACGAAGAGAGGCAGAGGAAAAAAGTGAAGAAAACCATATCATTCGAAGATCAGAAAGTGGCTGAGCCACGTGAAAAGTCCGTTGACAAACAACCGCTCAAACGGGCCAAATCCTACGACACAGAGAACGACGATGACTCCCTGCAAGAATTTGAAAAGCGCAAGTCTTTGAGGAAATCTGACAGTTCAGATATCTCATCGGATACTTCCTTCCAGAAAGACCCGCAAAAATCCGATTCTAAGCCTGAGGTTTCCCTCAAAAAAAGATTGTCCAAAGATGGCAGCGGTGACTCCGCCTCAACCGACAGAGAAACAGGATCCAAATCAAAACGGAAGAAACGGAGAGGCTCTCAAAGATTGTCCAAGTCTTCCAGCAAGGAAGACGATTCCCTCGAGGAGTATGAAAAACAGAAAGAGAGAAGTAAATCGTCTGAGAGGAAGGAATTACTCTCATCTGAAAAGGAAGTTTTCGTGCAAGCAGTTGAGGCCCTAAGTCAGGGAGACGAAGGTCAAAATATAGAAAAGAATGTCGAGCCTCCTCCACCTTGTGATACTGAATACATTTCGTCTTCCGATGCTTTCTCGCCGGAGGCGCATAAAAAGTCTCTAGAAAGCTTGGGCCACGAGACAACCTCCGACGTGGAGAGTATTATTAGTCAAGAGCGATCCGTGTATGAGGACACCCATGATCAAACTGATACAACCTTCGATCAAAATCCATCTGTTTTAGAATCACTCACTCAGTCATTGCAGGAAATTCAAAGGGGACTAGCGGCCGTGGAATCACAGGTTCGGGCAGAATCAAGTGATGAACCATACTCTGCCCAAGAGAGCCTCACGATTCTGGAATCTTTAGTGCAACCCATAACGGAAATTCAACGTGGATTGGAACTGGTGGAGCAGAAGATCAATGAAGATTGCGCAACCGGTGAATACTCCGCCGGCAAGACAGGAATTGCCATTCTGGAAACTCTAGCACAGCCTATCCGTGAGTTTGAAAGGAGTTTGACATTCGTGGAACAGCAGCAATTTCAGCAACAACATTCGATGGCGGATGGGTCGGAGGAGTCTCTACTTGAGCGGACAAACCAATCGATTCTTGAATCCGTTGCACAGCCCCTCCAGGAGTTGCACCGAGAAATAGCTCTCATTCAGAAACAAGCTGTAATGGAGACCGATACGGAATCCTTTTCCGGTAAGTTCTAACTTTAAAATCAATAATATCGAAAATTATCAACATGAAATACTCGTATTTGTGACAGCCCGTAGGCCGTAGGAAGAAGGATCTCTCAGCAAAACAATTCAAACTTTAGATATTTCGTCGTCCCTCTGACATGACGTAAGGGCGTAACTCGATTTCCACATGAGCCCCAGTGGCGTGGCGTGCTTTGCGATATGTCGATTGATCTGCTATTTTAATCTATGGAAAGGATCGATTATCAAGGTGTTCGCAGCGAACACCTTGATAATCGACTCTTTACTACAGCTTCAAATGGAACAATATCGATAATCGATCATTCAAGCTACGCCACTGATGAGCCCCAGAAAGCATTGACTCATATGTAAAACGTGGCTCACGTGGAAATCGAGATACGATCTTACGTCAAAGTCGCGACGATTTGTGCCGCAGCTTGGAAATATGTTTTACAGACATTTAGTCCGGAAATATCAAAAAATATGCAAACAAATCGGACCGTCGCGTCGATGGTTTTGTAGTTCAAAAAACGCATTTTTCAAAAATAAATTTTAAAATTATTAGGTATCTTACAAGTTCGCGGCACATTACGACGATGACACGAGCAAGCGTGCTGGCTAGATGGCGCGGCAATAATATTGTCGTCCTGCGGAAAAACGCCATAAGAACATTTGAGAGTTGTCCAATTTCCCCGGACGATACATATATTTTTAAGGAGCGCTACTCATATTTTTCCTTTAAATTTTCAGATATTTTAGATCAAATTACGAACAAAACTATTTGAAAAATATGAAGAAGCATATTAAAAATTTCCCTAAGTTCGGGTTGAATTGAATGAAATCTTGCAACGTCTTAAGGCTGATACGGCGTTTTTCCTTAGTACGGCAATATAGCGCCGCTAAACTCGGACCACGCGTCATATGTTTCGACTAGCATTTTCTTCCAGTTGTTATCATAATTTCAGAAAAAATATGTATCTTAATTGCAACGTTTCAGAACCTCGGACAATGCTTGATTCTGTGTTGTTTGGGGGAAAAAACAGGCGAACGACCTGGAACATCGCCTCAAAATTTTCTGTGAATATGTTTGGAATGATCTAGGAAAATTCGCAGAAAATTCTAAGAAAAACTGTCGTTTGGCGTTTAAAACAAAAAATTAAATACAAATGGAACTTGAGCGGAGGTGCGCAACGTTGCAATTGGCGATGAATAGGATTTTTTCTGAGTGTCGCCATCTATATTTGACATCATGTCTGAAATGCGTTTGTGAGGTAACTATTCGACCTCGGGTGACGCCCATATTGCCGCTTGCTGGAATTGAAGGCGCGTCAAGCCGCATATTCTCTCAACTTTCGCCGCGGCGCGCATAGACTCTACTGCTACACATAAAATGCAATCCAATGCGCTTTCTTCCGGAATTTTTATCGCGCAGCGACAGCAGTCATAAAGTGAACGTCTTATCTTCTCCAGGCGTCAACATCTTTTCGATATTATCTCAAAAACGCATTTCCGAAATGATGCTCGCAAATATTGATGGTTATACGCCAAAAAGCCTATTCAGCTCCGATTGAAACATTGCACACCTCCACTTGTGTTTAATTTTTATTTAATTTTATAAAAAAAAATAAATCACAATATTTTTTAAAAATTTCCCTCATTCCTTTCACATATTTGACATTTTTCCTTTGACAATTTAAACGGGAGAAACCTTCTTGCGTATTCTATCGGAGAGCAAGCACGAATTCATTTCCGACCTTTGGAGAAATCTGGTGCGATGAATGTGCTTACTCACAATCAGTGATATTTTTTGACAAATTTTAACTTCGAAGGTAAATCGTATGTAAAATTGCAGGCTCTTCACTTTTTTGCGAAAGAATTTTTTCGCTTCGATGCGTGTTACTTACAGGAAAGCAATGTTTGATCATATAAGTGTAAGTGTTCAACGGTAAAAGTTAAAAACTCAGAGTTTGGTCAAAATAAGTCGTCGGTGCGAGTTTTAAAAATGGTCAATTCTGTACAGGATTTTTTAAACCGTTTTTGGAAACCGGAAAGCTGCATGATTTTTTCCAACTTTGTTTTTTCCTTTGTCTTTTTTCTACTTTATTTTTTCTTATTTCTCTTCTAGTATCTAAATAAGCCGCACCCTAAGCAGAGAGCCTTGCGGCAGTAAACTTTATCAGTCACTTTTATTCAGTCAAATACATTCTATATACATGTTTGAATGATGCGTCATATATTTATTGATGGCTCAGTTCTTGAAACGCCAAACTTTTCGGTCTCTTTAACAATCTTTTAGTAATCCTGCAAAGTGGTAGGTCTTATTTTTCATTTTGAATTTTCTTTTCTAGGCATCGTTACATCGTTCCAACCATCCATTCGTGATGTCCGAGGAGGTGTTGAACAAAGCGTTACAACACTGAAAGATGATGTCTCTGAGCTATCTTCGTTCAGTGCTTTGTCAACTGTTGCTCAAAGCTTGGAAGAATCCATGAGAAACGCAGTGACAGTCGTTGAGCAAGATGTGCGATATAATGTCCCGTCTCAGATGGAGGCTGAACTTGATGAAGATATACCTTTGACCGTTAGAGAAATCGAAAAAGAATTTTCAGATTCAGACGAAGCTCTTAAGAATCTATCCAACAAAATTGATCCGATCCTCGAAGAGCTCGTTAATCACGCGGAGACTCTACAAAACTGTTTAGCAAAGATTCAAGGGAAGCAGCTCGAATTGTCAAATAAAAAAGAAAACTACGACAAAGAAGAAGCAATGCTTAACCAATTTATCCCTTTAATCGAGCCACTTCGGGACCTTCAAAGTGTCTTATTAAATTGCATCTCTGAGGTAGTGTCAAATGAAATAAATCCTTTCGAATCAGAAGAGGTTGCTTCGAAATTGACAGCATTAATAGCCAATCCCCTTAAAGCTCTTAGGGGCTGTATAGCAGTTCTGGAGTCTTACACCGCAGTATTGGATGGTCCAGAGTTGGTTTCTCAAGGTGCAGTATTACTAAACAGACTAGCGAATCCAATCAATGATTTAGACACGACCATAAAGTTGGTCGAACATCTGTCCGCATTTACAGCATTGGATTACATGATTTTACCCATCGAAGCTTTGGTGGATGCATTAGATAATATCGATTATGATGAAGTTTCAATCGAAGATATCGCGAGAGAAGGCTTGCCTCTGGTGAAGAACTTGGATGACTCCGTTGAAATACTTATCAACTGTATTAGAACCATTGATAAATGTGCCTCAGCTGAAACATCCTTTGTGAAGCAAAAGAAACTTAAATATTTTGGAACTTTACTAGCACCTCTGATAAACTTCCAAGAGGAATTGCACAAGCTTGAGCAAACCTTCGCCGATGAATCAAAATTGAATCAGGTATCAGGGGCTCAGGTATATCAACTAGCTCAGGATATAAGTACCCCTTTACAGTTGTTACGTATGGAACTATCGGTGATGCAGCATCAGATAGAGCTTGAGGAGTACAGTTCATTCTTATATCCCGATAGGGAAAAGTCAGTACTCATTGAACTGGTTGAGCCTCTAGCCCAAGCCCAGAAGTGTGTTTCATTTTATCATGATAGAATCGTCGATCTGCATCCAGATGAAAATATTGACGCCGGAAACATAGTGTATGCATTGAAAGTCTTGAAAAACCCTCTCTCCGATCTTTGCACGAGTATAATAAAAGCCGAAGAAACCATTCTGCAGTCTGCTCCTGCTATTTCAGATCCCAACATAGGTTTGAAAAAAGTCCACCAAACTGTTGGTGATTTGCAGAAGGTCATCGCGTCCATAAAAGCGCTACCTTTAATGCAAAATGTAACTGCTGAGGATTTGGCGATTTGTGATTCCTTTGCAACTCTGTCAGAGCCACTTGAAGCCATTCAATGTGGATTAGAGATTATTGGGCGTCAAATTCATGATCAAGACGAGCAAAATTTGGGCACACAATCACTTAGCAATTTGGAAGAGCCTTTTGCTACGTTGCAAAAAACTTTGTCAGCCATTGAGCAGAAAATATCCTCTCAGGATTTTTCATACCAACTGAATGAATTACGTGGGACCGTGCAGGACCTTCAAAGGCACATATTAGAATTTCAAGATCAAATTTCCTTTGAGTACGGTAATCAGCCAGCATCCATTGAGTACAGTATTCTTACATTGCAGTCAATAGTTCAACCAATGCAGGTTTTATTGACTCATTTAACGAAGGTTTGTAATGTTATCTCTTTCCAGTCTACTGAAAATAAGAATTTGACGCGCATCCCTAGTTTGAGTAACCTTGTTCAAAATGCATCAAACCTTAACACAAAATTCGATGAATATGCAAAGACGACCCAAGGAACTTATCCGACCGAGGGAGTTAAAACACCCATGCAAGTAATGTTGTGTGAAACAGCCCTCGTTTTGGAGACATTTGTCCAGAATTTGCACGATTTTGACGAATCGATGAGGATTAGTTCAAATCCTGCGGCTGTAGATCGCACCCCTATTACAGACACTTTAAAAAATTTACAGCAGCATCTCGTTCAACTGCAGGATGAGATCCAGTACCATCCTGACATCCCTTTAGCAGTAGTTGAAAAAAGTATACACACACTCGCCGATACACTGAAGGATAGTCATGATATCCTCTGCACAACGAAGAATCTCCTTGAATTTGTATCAGTCCTAGCTGAAAACGTCACACCCATCGAAAATTTAGCAGAGCAGTTACATGGTCTAAAAACTGCCACTTTCACATTGGAGGACGTATCTAAAAAGGCCATTGATAGTGCAGATATTGCAGTAAAAGCACCAAAAGAAAGAGAGACTAAGTTGACAGGTAAAACAGAAGAGTCTCAAGTAAGAAAGACCAAAGATGTCGAAGAAATGACAATCGAACAAAAAGTTAAAGTTGAAGAGCCCTTGCCGAAAAAGGCCCTAGAAGGGTTGGTTGAGAAAACAGAAACTAAAACAGATAAGACTAAAAGCCAAGACAAGGATGCTCAAGAAAGTAAACATGAAGAACTAGAAGAAGAGAAATTGGAGCTACCACGTCAAGGGATAGTTTTTGAGCAGCCGAACAAAGAAATAAAGATGGACGTTGAATTTTCGTCACACGATGAGCACTCTCAACCACTTTCATTAAATGAAATAAAGAAAAGAGGGGAGAAAATGGAGTTGGACGTAGTTCATCAGGATGTTGAACAGGCAATGGATATTTCTGAGTCACATATGCCAAAACAGGAGACATCTACTGCTATAATTAACGCCACTGAAGATGACAGCATTTTAAAACTTCAAGAAACCCAGACAGGACCAAAACCAGATACCTCTACGCCGCCAAGCAAGCAAAACGAAAAAGAGACGGTGAAACATTCGCAAAATGAGCCAGAGAAAAAGGCGAAGGAACAAAGTAAAACTAAACAAAAAACTAAAGTTCCGTCGAGTTTGGAGAGCAAAAGGAAACACAGCATTATACCTATTGATCTCCAACTCGAGTCTGTGAATGACGTTTTGTCCACTATACGTAACTTCCGTAAAAACATTGCAATTGACTGTACTGAAAATTTTGATAATGAGTCTCCAGTTCAAGATTCCCTTCTCGAATTTATCGATGAAATTGAACTCTTTGAAACAAGCCTGAGACAGTTCAAGGAAAACACAGAAATTGATGAAAACAGCTTGACTCCTGATTCTGTAAAAGGGAATCTTGATGTTCCATTGCTGCGTTTGAAAAATCAAGTATGTCTTCTAGAAAATGTTTTCAATGCTCACCAGTGTGAGTCACTCTCAGCTGCGGTGACTGATCTGAAAGAAATCGTCAATGAGTTAAACGAGAATCTCGAGAGAAACTCTTTTGAGCTCATGCAACTGGAAGATCTAAAAACACCCTTAAAAATTTTGAATTTAGCCGTCATTGAATGGGGATCAAAGGAAGACGGCGAGGTCCAACTATTGAAAAATCAAGCAAATAATGTTGCCTCCTTCAATCCGTCAGATTTGAATAAATTTGTTGTAAAAGACATGGTTGATTGTATCTCAAGCATTGATAACGAAATCTACGGTATTTTGAATCATGCCTCTGAGGGTGTCACAAATGATATATTTTATGAATGCACAGATAATATAAAAAATCTGGCTATTGTCTCTGAAAAGCTCAAAGTAACTGAAAACAAATTAAAAGCCTTAATCGACAAGCCAAGCGAGATGCCCGTTACAATTTTGAAAGAGTCAATTAAAAATATTCAAGAGCACATTTTTTCTGTGGAACAAGCACTTTGTCTAAACACACTTCAACCTCAGACCGTGCAAAACACAGTCTCGAACTTTCGGGAATATTTAGCCGCTCTTCATCATGATATCCAGGCGTTTGAACGCCTCAACGTCGAGGACAGCAAGGCTTTAAATTTGGAGAAGCTGATAGAGCCCATTACAGTCCTCCTACAACAGATAGAAGATGTGAAACATAGCACAGTAGCAGAAAAAATAAGCACAGCTTTAATTGAACACATAGATATCTTAGATCAGACTGCAGATGAATTAAGACAGCAGTTAACAGCATGCATGTTGGAACCGCAAATAACTGAAAGTGAGATAACGACTCTTGTAGAACCTTTTAAGATAATAAAATCCGAGATAAATGACATTGCACCGTACATTAATCGTGCAAGTAAACGTCGAAGCATCTCTACCGATGAAAATCTTTTATTGCAAAATTTGTCGGACGCTTTTCAGACCATTGCAAGTATAGAGTTCGAAGAAGTTTCTGATTTATTGGTCAACCAAAATTTCAAAGAAAAGACAAAAGTTGCAAGTGAAACACTGGTGGAAGAACTGCTAATCAATGCATCGGCAATGAAACAACCGTTGGTACAACAGTCTGATACTCAAAATAAACTAAAACAAGAGGCGAAAAACGTACCAGAACAAGTACTTGAAGAAGGACTTACGCCGGAAGTGGGCATTAAATTAAAACGAGAAGCTGGAGAAGAGTCCAAAATTGAGGTTGAGCAAAAGACACGAAAAGAAATTGAAGAAAAAACAGAACGTGAAGCAGAAGAAAAAGCAAAGATACAAGATGCGGAAAAAACTAAAATAGAGGCCGCAGAGAACGTGAAGCATGAAGCAGAAGCAGAGGCCAGACGATATGCAGAGGAAAAAGCGAAGCTAGAAGCCGAGCACAAGGCCAAAAAAGAAGCAGCAGAGAAAGAAAAACGTGCAGCTGAAGAAAAAGAAAGACGGCAAGCAGAAGAAAAAGAAAGACGGCAAGCAGAAGAAAAAGCAAGGCAAGAAGCTGAGATTAGGACCAAAAAGGAAGCAACTGAGAAGGCTAAACGTGAAACAGAAGAAAAAGGAAATCGTGAAACAGAGGAAAAAGCAAAACGTGAAGCTGAGGAAAAGGCCAGAAAGGATGAGAAAGCCGCTCTTGGAGCGCAAGAAAAAGCTAAAAAGGAAGCTGCGGATAAAGCAAAAAAAGAGGCTTCAGAAAAAGCTATACATGAGGCAGAAGCAGAAGAGAAACATGTTGCAGAGTCAATAGCAATACAGGAAACCGAGGTGAAAGCCGATAAAGTAAACCGTGAAGCGGAAGAAAAAGCAAAACAAGAGTCCGAGGAGGCGGCTAAAAAAGAAGCCACGGAAAAAGTTAGTAGTGAGGCTGCAGAAAAAGCAAAACGTGCAGAGGAAGAAAAAGCAACCTATGAGAAACAAGAAGCAGCAAAACGTCAAGCAGAGGAAAAGGCACAACGTGAAACAGAAGAAAAAGCAAAACGTGAAGCAGAAGAAAAAGCAAAACATGAAACTGAAGAAAAGGCCAAAAAGGAAGCTGCAGAGAGATTGAAACATGAAGCAGAAGAAAAAGCGAAACGAGGGGTAGAAGAAAAAGCGGAACGTGAAAGAGAAGAAAAAGTGAAACGTGAGGCTGAACAAAATGCAAAACGTGACGCAGAAGAGAAAGCGAAACGTGAGGCAGAAGAAAAAGCAATGAAAGAAGCAGAAGAAAAAGCTAAGAAGGATGCAGAAGAGAAAGCTAAGAAGGAAGCAGAGGAAAAAGCCAAAATGGAAGCAGTAGAAAAAACAAAGCAAGAAGCCGCAGAAAAGGCGAAACGTGAAGCAGAGGAAAAAGCCAAACGGGAGGCGGAAGAAAAAGCGAAACGTGAAACAGAAGAAAAAGCAAAGAAAGAAGCACAAGAAAAAGCTAAACGTGAAGCGGAAGAAAAAGCAAAACAGGAGGCAGAGGAAAAAGCAAAACTTGAAGCAGAAGAAAAAGCAAGACGGGAGGCAGAAGAAAAAGCTAAACGGGAGGTAGAAGAAAAAGCAAAGCAAGAAGCTGCAGATAAGGCCAAGAAAGAAGCCGCAGAAAAGGCGAAACTTGAAGCAGAAGAAAAAGCTAAACGTGAAGCAGAAGAAAAAGCTAAACGTGAAGCTGCAGAAAAGGCGAAACGTGAAGCAGAAGAAAAAGCTAAACGTGAAGCAGAAGAAAAAGCTAAACGTGAAGCTGCAGAAAAGGCGAAACGTGAAGCAGAAGAAAAAGCTAAACGTGAAGCAGAAGAAAATGCTAAACGTGATGCAGAAGAAAAAGCAAAGCAAGAAGCCACAGAAAAGGCGAAACGTGAAGCAGAGGAAAAAGCGAAACGTGAAGCAGAGGAAAAAGCAAAACGGGAGGCGGAAAAAAAAGCTAAACTTGAAGCAGAACAAAAAGCTAAACGTGAAGCAGAGGAAAAAGCCAAACGGGAGGCGGAAGAAAGAGGTAAACTTGAAGCAGAACAAACAGCTAAACTTGAAGCAGAAGAAAAAGCTAAACGTGAAGCAGAAGAAAAAGTAAACCGTGAAGCAGAAGAAAAAGCAAAACGGGAGGCAGAAGAAAAAGCGAAACAAGAAGCTGCAGAAAAGGCCAAGAAAGAAGCCGAAGAAAAGGCTACACGTGACGCGGAAGAAAAAGCAAAGAAGGAAGCTGAAGAAAAAGTGAAACGAGAAGCAGAAGAAAAAGCAAAGAAAGAAGCAGAAGAAAAAGCGAAGAAGGATGCAGAAGAAAAAGCTAAGAAGGAAGCGGAGGAAAAGGCCAAAATGGAAGCAGTAGAAAAAGCAAAGAAGGAAGCAGAAGAAAAAGCAAAGCATGAAGCAGAAGAAAAAGCAAAGAAGGAAGCAGAGGAAAGAGCCAAAAAGGAAGCAGCAGAGAAGGCGAAACTTGAAGCAGAGGAAAAAGCAAAGAAAGAAGCAGAAGAAAAAGCGAAGAAGGAAGCAGAAGAAAAAGCAAAGCAGGAGGCAGAAGAGAAAGCTAAGAAGGAAGCAGAGGAAAAGGCCAAAATGGAAGCAGTAGAAAAAGCAAAGAAGGAAGCAGAAGAAAAAGCAAAGCAGGAGGCTGAAGAAAAAGAAAAGAAGGAAGCAGAGGAAAAAGCCAAAAAGGAAGCAGCAGAGAAGGCGAAACTTGAAGAAGAGGAAAAAGCAAAGAAAGAAGCAGAAGAAAAAGCGAAGAAGGAAGCAGAAGAAAAAGCGAAGAAGGAAGCAGAGGAAAAAGCAAAGAAGGATGCAGAAGAGAAAGCTAAAAAGGAAGCAGAGGAAAAGGCCAAAATGGAAGCAGTAGAAAAAGCAAAGAAGGAAGCAGAAGAAAAAGCAAAGCAGGAGGCAGAAGAAAAAGCAAAGAAGGAAGCAGAGGAAAAAGCCAAAAAGGAAGCAGCAGAGAAGGCGAAACTTGAAGCAGAAGAAAAAGCTAAGAAGGAAGCAGAAGAGAAAGCTAAGAAGGAAGCAGAGGAAAAGGCCAAAATGGAAGCAGTAGAAAAAGCAAAGAAGGAAGCAGAAGAAAAAGCAAAGCAGGAGGCAGAAGAAAAAGCAAAGAAGGAAGCTGAGGAAAAAGCCAAAAAGGAAGCAGCAGAGAAGGCGAAACTTGAAGCAGAAGAAAAAGCTAAGAAGGAAGCAGAAGAGAAAGCAAAGAAGGAAGCAGAGGAAAAAGCAAAGAAGGATGCAGAAGAGAAAGCTAAGAAGGAACCAGAGGAAAAGGCCAAAATGGAAGCAGTAGAAAAAGCAAAGAAGGAAGCAGAGGAAAAAGCCAAAAAGGAAGCAGCAGAGAAGGCGAAACTTGAAGCAGAGGAAAAAGCAAAGAAAGAAGCAGAAGAAAAAGCAAAGAAGGAGGCAGTAGAAAAAGCTAAGAAGGAAGCAGAAGAAAAAACAAAGAAGGAAGCAGAGGAAAAAGCCAAAAAGGAAGCAGCAGAGAAGGCGAAGCTTGAAGCAGAGGAAAAAGTAAAGAAAGAAGCAGAAGAAAAAGCAAAGAAGGAAGCAGAAGAGAAAGCCAAAAAGGAAGCAGAGGAAAAGGCCAAAATGGAAGCAGTAGAAAAGGCAAAGAAGGAAGCAGAAGAAAAAGCAAAGAAAGAAGCAGAAGAAAAAGCAAAGAAAGAAGCAGAAGAGAAAACAAAGAAGGATGCAGAGGAGCAGGCCAAAATGGAGGCAGTGAAGAAAACGAAACTTGAAGCAGAAGAAAAAGCAAAGAAGGAAATAGAGGAAAAAGCAAAGAAGGAAGCAGATGAAAAAGCGAGACGTGACGCAGAAGAAAAAGCGAAGGAAGAAGCAACGGAGAAGACCAGGGAAGAAGTCGCAGAAAAGGTTAAACGTGAGGCAGAGGAAAAGAAAAAACTTGAGGCTGAGGAAGTAGCCAAAAAGGAAGCCGCAGATAAGACGAAACTTGCAGCAGAAGAAGAAGCAAAGAAGGATGCTGAGTATAAAGCACAAAAGGATGCTGCAGATAAGACTAGACGTGATGCAGATGAAATGGCTAAGCGTGAGGCAGAAGAAAAAGCTAAGCGCGAGGCAGAGAATGAAGTGAAAAAGAGGACTGAAGAACAAGCCAGAAAGGAAGCTGCGGAGAAGGTTAAACGTGAAGAAGAAGGAAATGCAAAGCAGAAGTCTGAGGAGAAGGTCAAAAAAGAAACCGAAGAGAAGGTTCAGCGTAATGCCAAAGAGAAGGCTGATTTCGAGGTTAGAGAGGAAACAATAGTGGGAGCGAAGGAAATTACTCATCAAGACGTCAAAGCAAAGTCCGAGGAAAAAGAATGTGGTCGCACTGATGAATTGTCCAGTCGCAAAGCAAATGAGGAACTATCTCGAGTGGCAGATGAAAAGATAATAAGTAAAACTAATAAGGATATTGAAACACATACGAAGCAAGTTTACGTAACAGAAAATAATGACACATTTAATCGAGGGGCAAAAGCAGCAATCAAAAAAACAGCTGCAGAACTCACGATTACTGGTCAAACTGCCAAAGACCATTATTCTGGAACGTCTCTACGTGGATCCACTCACGGTAGTTACGTTACTAAGAAATACGAAATCACGGATGATTTAAGAGTCACTGCAGAAAAGTTGAGAGATCAGTGCTCCGAAGAACTTAAGCACAGCAGGAGGAGCGTCTCACGATCTGAAATAAGGGCTACCTCAGAGTCACCGAGCTTTATGAATACGCACAGCGCAAGGGATTATCAATATAAACGAATCAACTTGGATAATGTTGATATCCACAGTTCTACTTATTCAAGGACTAAATCACCCCTAGAAAGAGCTCGATCACCATACGTCAGTAGATCACCTGTTGGAGTAGCTAGGAGCCCAGATTTGATTCATCAGTTGAACAGGAAGATGCATCTGAGCTCGAACTATTACAAGAGAGAATATACACCTGACCTTACGGATCGACTGACCAGTCAGCGGGTAGGATCACCTGTGGACTCATATAAAGGCAGGAGTGACTCCCGACTTGGTGTTTCGGAATCTGAGGACGATTACACGCTCAGAGAGAACTCATTGTCAAGATCTCGTAGTTTTGACCGAATGGCTTATAATTACATAAGCTCTAAGGCTGACCGGCATTCCGATTATTTGTCTAATTCGGGCAGATATGCATCACCTCTGAGGACGAAATGGTCTGAAAGTGTCGTTTCTGATGATGAGATGTATCATTACTCCAAGGTCCATTCTCGCTGTATTGTTCATGATCAGCATCCTAAAGTGGTAAGATTTTAGAAATAAGTATTGCTCATTACTAATCTTTAATTTTTAACATTCTTTATTAATTTCTGAGTGACGCCTCAGAGGTGTAGAAAGTTTGGCCTACACAGATTCACCCTACGCATTACTACACTGCGTGCGCTCGCAGTAATTTTTACCAGAAATTAGTGCGCTCGTAGTAACTTTGTAAAAATTAAGCGCGGTTGCATTCATTTTCTAAAAACTCAACGCTTTTGCTGTAAATTTTTCACGATTTCAACACTTGCTCAGTAATTTTCTCAGAAATTCTACGCTCTTGCACTAATTTTGTGAAAATCAGTGCGTTCGATGCAATAATTTTTACAAAATATTAGCGTCCTTGTCATAAAATTCGTAAAAATCAGTGTGTTTAGCGTTCACTCTACAGAATAAAATTTATTTTTTTGCGTAACTGAACGTTTGGTTCATGCAACCGAATTTCTTTCATCGGTTCGTTTAACCTCATAAGTTTGGTCACACGAACTAAGAGTTGAGTTCGACAAACCGAATAGTTGAGATGATATAGAGCATCAAGACCTCCTTCATTTTTTGGATATGCAATTTAATCCTCCTGGAACCCAAAATAGTCGTAACATTGTTTAGCCTTATCCAACTTTTCTGCATCTGCGTTAAAGTCTCCGAGTCAGCCGAAAAGAGTTTAGACTTCACGTTCTCCTTCATTTCGTGCAAATGCAATTTTATTCCCTTGGAAGTCGAAATAGTTTTAACTCTTATTTTGCCCCAACTAACTACTCTCCCGTGCTGAGGAAGAACGCCTTATGATCCCTCAGACGTTGCGATATTTCCTTGAATACAAAAATTATCAACTACAAAAATTGTGAATATTTTTCTTCAAAAATTTTTCGACAAGTTTTTACGCAATTTATTCTAAAAATTCTGAAAATTTTTATGGAAAATATGCATAGTTTCCTAGAAAATACATTTTTTATCTGAGAAAATTTGGCAACTCTCGAATGTTTATACGGCTTTCTTCCTTAGCACAGCAGTATTCTATACTGCGATAAACTCTCTGAATCAGCGGGAAAAAGACCAAGCTATTTTTCGTTGATGCGGATGTACGAGAAAGTTTTTTTGCTTCAAAATTGTGACCGGATCTGTGAACAGGGACCTCATCACCCGAAGAAAATATCTAAAACTTTGAACTTTGCGCGAGAAACGAGCACGATATTCACCTGCAAAACTGTAGAAATATTTGTATGCCTTTTCATTTCACTATCTAGACGCTATGGTATGATCCATGTAGGTAATGCAGCAGTAAAATAAGTCCTCTCATAAAGTTTTTGACTAAATTTGAAACTAATACATACGACGATTAGACAAATTTTAATTTTGGCGATGTATGTTTTAGAAAACAACAGACTCAAGACCTCATTTCTGTGGTCGATTGTCCAATCGATCGACCACCGTAGGATCCAGGGTGAAGTTGACATGCAGTGTGATTGGTTACCCGGAGCCAAAAATTGAATGGTACAAAGATGGACTCCCCATTATCCATAAAAAACGGGATTTCAAGTAAGATTCTTAATTCAGCTGCTTTTATTCCCTTACGTTCTGACCCTTTTCGTGAGATCTCCCTACTTTCCTTTTGCGATTGTTACTTGGAATATACAATTTTAATTTCAATTTTTCAACATCCCATACAAAAATTAAATACACCTATATTTGTCTTTCTTGCTATACATCGGACTTAAAAAATAAGCCTATATGATAAGGACATTGCACTAAGAAAATAAAAAAAAACGAAAAAAACGATAGCGTGAGAGGATCCTATAAGACCGGAATAAAACTCTCCGCCTCAATTGATATTTTACTTTTCGTCATTGATCATTTCTTTGACGCAAAATTTTCCCTTCTCAACGCAAAGAAAATGTGCTAAGTAAATGAATTTTCTCTAATTTATCACTTTTCTGAGACCTTGTCCACACAAGCGCGGTTCGAGGAACTTCGGGCGTATCACGCAAGGAACTTGTCGTAGCTTACCTGTTACTTGTTCCTCGAACCCCCAGTTTGTGGAACTAATTCGTCCAAACTGCGCTCGGGTGGACAAGGCTGTATTTCAGGGTAATTTTACTCGAAAGAAAATCCTAAATACTTTATTCGTGTGGAGAACAGTCCCCTCCCCCCCCCCCACGGCCCTCTAGAAATACAACTTTGATAACATTATTGAAATTCCGGATTTCAGGTATCATGTGAAGTTGTACAAAGGTCTCGCTAGTCTGGAAATTTTCGGAGCACAAGTGAGTGACTCAGGGAACTATACTTGCGTGGCCACAAATGACTACGGAAGATCCATCACAGCTGCCAACATTCAAGTCTTCCCTGACTACGAGACTCAGCGAATGTCAGAACTTTCGAACCGATCCATAGGTTGGTGCAAAGATATAGTTCAGTCAGAGCTCCTAATGTATTGTTGATACAAATATTTTAACTCCGGCGTGGGTGGTGAAGTATCGCACGAAACTGAAGGCGTTTTTGGCTGGTGACAACATTATGTTGTAAATCACATCAAGACGTGTATCATTTCGATGGATCAAATGAACCCGCTTCTCCCCGTCATTTCTTTAAAATTTTAAGTCAGGATCTGCCAAAATACGGAACACTCGTAAATTATGCCAACAAGGTTTTTTTCCGACTAAATGCGCAGTGGTAGTTTACGAATGAAAGATAAACGATTGAAAGATCCTACGAGGTGGTATCAAAATACCCATTGATTTTTGATACAAATATTTGAACTCTGGCGTGGGCGGTGAAGTATCACACAAAGCTGAAGGCGTTTTCGACCGGTGACAACAGGTTGCCAACAGTTTGGCCTCTGAAAAATGTTACTAGATATATGATAGTTAAAATTCGATTGCTAAAAAGAAGAAAGGAGAGGAAAAAAATTCTAGACAAAAAGGTTTGAAATCTTTCTCTGCTTGATTGGAGCTCAAATTTTTCGAAAGATAAAGCAACTTCACGCCATCTTTTGGTATAAAAATAAACTGAGCGACTTTCAACCTACTTTTTAGATTAAAATGTATCAGTGGCGTGGCGTGAATGCTCGATTATCGACATTTTCCCATTTGAAGCTATGGTAAAGAATCGACTATCAGGGTGTTCGCCGCGAACACCCCATTTATCGATTAATTTTAATAGGTTTAAAGGGTAGATCAATCGAGATATCGCAAAGCACGCCACGCCACTGAAATGTATGTTTTCCGCCCAGAACTCGAATTTAATTAAACTTATTTACAGCGAAAGCAACTATCTACATATTAATAACATCAACAGGAATTATATGTCTGAGGAATTACTTGTGGAGATGGCTCATGAGTTGAACACTCATGAGCCATATCCACAACGCTGCTGTCACACGCCCACGGCTCATCAGTCAGCATATTTTAGCGCTTAGTTCCTTTTGATTTCATGTCAATTCTCACTTTTTCATTTTCCTAAAAGGAACTGCGCCCACTTTTAAATTGTTTCTTATGCAGCTTCCTAAAGCACAACCCGTCTCTCCCACCCGTTTCTAGTTCCTTTTAGCATGAATACACGTCACTTTATTTACACATTCATTTATTTTCTCCAGAATCGGATTTCCTTCACATGCGTTGTATTAGGGACTCGTTCTCACCCCGACCGAGCTCCATCCTGAGGGACCTGACTCATTCCGACCACTTATCAGCTCCCAAAGGTGTGGACCTCGACGGTGACCTCTTTAGCCCCAGATCTGGTCTATCGTCGCCCGATTACGGTAGGCCCGTCGTCACGACTTTAGCCTCGGAGAACTTCGTCCCGGCCGGTGGAACTGCTGCATTGCACGTCCATTTTAAAGGTAAGCGTCTCTACCACCACAGGCCCATCGTTTCCTCAACGTTTTTTATTAACGGAGTTATAAGCTTTTAAAGATTCCACAATTTGTCCGACTTCTCCCATTGACTCTTTCCATCGTGCGACGTCGCGCCGTTCGTCGCCAACTTGCACGTCTTAAGACTCATACCCTCGGCGGGCTGATTGTTGAAATTGACAGGCAAAGCAATAGATAAAGGAAACATAAGGAGTATGGAGGGATCCTATTGGTTAATTTGGGTGGTTGCAATGGAGAAAGGAGGTAGGTAATAGACTAGCTAACGGCAACTCTGCCGTGCTAAGGAAAAACGCCGTATGAACTTTCAAGAGTTGCCAAATTTCCTCCGATGAACTGTTCGTTTTGGAGGAAAGTTATGCATATTTTCCCCTTTTCAAATATTTTAGACTAAAGTGCAAACAATATTGTCCGAAAAATTGGAAGAAAAATCTTCTCTACTTCCGCAGTAAATTGCTACTTTATCAAGGGAAAATTGGCAACGCCTGAAGATTCATACGGCGTTGTTCCTTAGCACGGCGGAACTCACGAGAGACCCATTAGTTAGTCCATCATTGTCTCCCATAGTCTATAAGAACCACCCATATTAACCAACAGGATCGCTCCGTACTCCTCATGTCTTCTTTGTCTATAGCTCGGTCTATCAATTTCAACAATCAGCCCGCAGGAGATAGTTACCGAACTTTCTGTCCCAAGTATATTTTCTATAGTCTGTCCGAGATGAGAAGAACCGTGGAAAGTCGGATTTAATTGTACTATGTAGAAGCAAGGGTAGCGTTCGAGCTATTGTAAGATGAAGACACTGAACCAACCCTGTATCGTGGCGCACCGCACAGAGGGCTGGCTCCTGACCTCATGAATCGCTTGCCGCGTCGCGCCGCTTGGCGCCTAGAACAGGAATTTTTGGCTCCAGGTTCAAATCCCGGGGAAAACCGCTGCTCCGAGGCCCAAAGCCTCCTGTGCGGTGGCTGCGGCGTGCGCGAAACCCCGGAGAGTGACAGTTGACGAGGGTTGAGACACCCCCACCCTGCAAAATAGTGCAAATTATTCCGACTTTCCACGGTTCTTCCCATCTCGGACAGACTATAAGTCAAATTTTATAATTACAACATACCTGTCCGGTAGTGATTTTTCCGGTATATTTGAATTTTGCACAATATTTACCTCCTTTTCATGTTCATTTTAGGCACCCCATACTCAGACGTGACCTGGCTGAAGGGTAGCACGCCGATCTCAACGTCCTCCTCGCGCTACAGGTACGTGCGAGAGCCGGACACGCACACTCTCATCGTTAGTGACGTCACCCCGGAGGAGACGGGGAAGTACGTCTGCCGGGCGTACACCGGGCTTGGATACGTGGACACGACGGCCACCATCGAGGTCGTGTCTGCGGGCAACGTCCGCGGCAACAACCGCCCGGCGATGTTCGTCAACCGGCCCAGCACCAGCCTCACCTTCGTCGTCGGCGAGGACATCACGCTGTCCTTCCGGGTCGCCGGAACACCCAAGCCCAAAGGTTCGTATCCGTTTTTATCGTCCAAGGAGAAGGAACGTCAATCCACGTGTTAAGGTGAATCCAGGGTTCGATTAGGGATAATTCAAGATTAGAGATAGCGCCACCAGTCACCACTGAGAATGTCACTTTCCTTCGACGATTACTGAAATAATACTCCTCGAATTACATAAAGTAGATCCACAAGATGTAAATTAATTTTTGCTCGATTTTTTGAGCCAAAAATATTGGCATAAATAATTACACGCGCAGAGAAAGTACGGATGAAACTTTCAGCTCAGAGGCGGCGGCCGAGCGCGCAACGGAATCCCTTATGTTCTGTCTCTCTCTCTCCCACTGCCGCAATGGGAATTACTTTCCGCCGTAGTTAAGACTTTATTTTTGGGAATTTTGAGAAGATTTTTTTACTGAGTGTTCCTCAAGTATGTTGCCATATCCCCTGGATCTCCAATCTTGAATAAGTATTACGGTTTTTATTATTTTGGCAAATATATGCGGCTATTCTGAGCAGCGCGACGTGGTGGCCAAATCGCGAAGTTCCAAGCCTGGATTCACCTTAAGGACGCTAGAGTCAGGGTTGCCACAGTCAGGGAATCCCGGAAAAACCGGGAAAATGTCAAGGAAAATGACGAAAGTGCCTGAGAAAATGATAAACTCACCTTTATTTGCTATCTAGAATGGGGTTGACACTTCGAACAACAAATTTTGCTTAAAAACTTTTTCAAATTATGCCATTTAAACCATTTGGCATATCTTTAATTGGACCGCGTTAAACAGAAAGGAACCAAGCCACATCAGCTATTGCCAAATTCAACTGGGCATTTTAATTTCATACATGGAAACGGTTGTGCGGTTTTTCGTGCAAATTTTCGGTGAATTTTCTCCACATTACGAAGCGAATTCCTTAAAATTTTCAAAGGAATCCGCATAAGCGTTCTCTCGTAAAAAATTAAATTGTTCAGTTAAATTTGGCAAAAACTGATGTGGCTTGGATCCTTTCTATTAAACGCGGTCCAATTCGGCAGTGAATTTCTCTTTAATATGTCAGAGAAATCAAGGAAGCATCAGGGAATTTCATATTCTAAATTTTGTGGCAACCCTGTATAGTGCCTTTACAGCATGGTGTCTAGCACCTAGAATAATCAGGAAAATTCAAGATTCATCACGGAATGCAAATTTTTAAGGGAAATCAGGGAAAAATCTGGAAATCTGTCCCAGAAATGGGGGATCTCTTCCACCGCCTAACGACCATTTTGTTTTCGGATTTATCAGACATTTCACGCCTCTCGGATTAGTATGGCAACCCAATCAGAAATAATCAGTTGCTTAATGTGATTTTCTCCTTTCGTTTCAGTTTCATGGATGAAAGGATTGAAGGACATCACGAACAGTTTCAGGACTGTGAAAGAGACTTATGACGACTACGTGAGATTAACCTTAAAGCGGGCACAACCTTCAGACGCTGGAACTTATTTCATCGTTGCGAAGAATATTTACGGCTGTGATAGAGCATTCGTCACCGTTCGGGTATGTGACTTACAAATTCATCTTCCATGTGCGTGATTTTACTCAACAGTTGACCTGCGGGCCGATTATTGAAACTGATGGACAAAGCGATAGACAAAGAAGACATAGGGAGTATGGAGCAATCCCATTGGTTGAAACTGCTGGTCTTTACAGACTAAGAGGAAAAATGATAGACTAACTGTCGGGTCTCTTGTCGGTTGCAGTTAGTTAGTCTATCACCTACCTCCTTTGTCCAACGCAACCACCCGCTTCCACCAATAGCATCCCTCCATATCCTTATTGTCTTCTTTGTCTATTGCTTTGTCTATCAATTTCAATAATCGGCCCGCTGCTTCTAACTCTGCGAAGAATGGGCTTACACAAATACGTTGCTTCCATCACGCAGGAACGTAACTGTACGTTTCATTGTGGCTTAATTTCCCTTCGTACACCTGGAGAATTATTACCTGGAGAATGTTGGGCATTCCTAACTGAAAATTTCACTATTTTTCCTCCAATCTCACGCAAAAATCAGAAAAATTTCGGGATAAAAATGCACGGGTACATACTTGTAAAAAACTGAATCGTTTGAGTCAATTTTGCAATCTTGGAATGGAGTTACATTCCTTCGTCCAATAAACGACAATGAAGTAAAATTGCTTTCAAAATATCTTGGCGAATTTATAGGGAGCCTCTTACTCGTATCGTAGGATCACATTTCGCTGGTTGAACATTACATATGTATTGGCAAGAAATACAATGCTCTGTCCAAACGCAAAATGTACCTATTTCCATGATAGCACCTTTGGAAGACGCGTATGATATATAGACTGCCCATTATATTGCGATGGAGAAGACAAATTTTAAAAGAAATGCGTATGATTGGTCACGCCTTGTTCTTCGTAGATCAATGTCTCCGCTATTATTGGGATGAGAATTTTTTACAGATAGTCAGGGTTGCAAGTGTCAGAAAAATTGACACTGGTATAAGCTGCAAAAGCGAGTGTAGCCCCGCCCTTACGCTCATTTCTGAGTAATTGAAAACGGGAGTGGGCAATTAAGTTCGCCTTCAACTCGATGGATACGATTTGAGCGACTCAGGAGTTGGAATAGTTGTATGTCGTACTTTGTGTGTAACGCGATGTTTGAAAAACGAGTGACTTCAATTGTAATTGTAGTGTTTTTAGTGACCTCCTCAGTTGAACATTCAGTAACTTTTACTCGATTCTCCTCGCAGAAAAATATCTCGATATTGACATTGAGATAAGTTACAGAGCTTAGAATTTAGCACCGCTCTCGCGATCATGTTTGTATTCGAGTTCTTTGCAAGTTTCAACTTCATACGTACAATTGCAGTGCTTCAAAGTTTGCATGACTGTTTTTAAATTAATCCTTTTCTTTGTGAGAAGTCGGGGACTTTCAGTGCAAGGAGTCTAGAAAGTTTCCCGAAAAGTCAGGGAAAGTTAGAACTGGATTAAACCTGCAACCCTGATAGTGATATTTCTCACGTCAATCTACACCACTCTACCATCAAAATACGATTTCATATTTCATACCATCTGTGACCGATTAATTACATCAAATGGACCACTAGACAAGGTACGAATTTAAGTAATCTGATACTAGTTTCTTAACCAGAATTTCACCCAGAACACGATTCTCACATCGAAAATTACTGAAACCAACTCCTAACAAAGATATTAACGTTTTTATTTAACATTTGTTACGAGGAATTTGAACTGCCCGCTCACAAGAAACTCAAAGCTCTACGTGAGTCAAATCGCGCTCTACAACGGTTTCAGCAAGCTTCTCAATCGAGCAATGTTCATTTCCCACCATGTGTTGTTCAAATTATTAGCAATTTGCTATAGCTGAGCCAAAGCGTCAAGATTGAGGTTGCCAGATTTTTATATCGCTGAGACTGTCATGTCAACGTTTAGTGCGCGATGTGAATCACGTTGAGCATTCAGTTTTCATGAGCGAATGGTTTGAATTCACGCATCAAGAATCATAAAATATCTTCGGAAGGAGTTAATTTCGGTAATTTTTGTTGTGCGCATCGTGTTCTACGTGAAATTTTAGTTACGATACATGTATCAGAATGCTGAAATTTGTACCTTGTCTAGTGGTCCATTGAGCCTGTATTTTTATGTACATGCAAGTTATGTCTCGTTTGCTCAGTTCCATCCAATCAAATCCTATTGTCTTACATTTAACTCCTAGGACTTCAGCACATTCCATTCCTCCATTGGGTATCCCGGCAATAGTCTAGCAGACATACAAACTGTCGGGAAAATGTATACAATGATTTTTATAGTGAGAGATTTTACAATCTACATTTGCCCAGCAATGTCAGTTTGACGAACAAATACAGCAAAGCGTTTAAAAATGAAATCCCTCCTCAGATTCCTGACGCAACCTAGCAACTTCATTTTTCTTTCGATATTTTCGCACAAACCTCCGTATCTGACATAGCATATTATTGATTTTTTTTCGATTGTCAGCAAGAAAATTACAAGTACCGACCCTTGAATGAAAATCAAACTGCAACCAATCACAGTTCGGGCCATAAGTCACAAGACATTCTCGGCATTGCCAAATATCTCATTTGCCTCCAAAATAATTATCCCTGTCTAGACTCACGTCAAAAATAACAAATTTAAATTGAAACTCGACAGTAGTGCTATCGCATAACTGTGACATCAGATTGGCAGCTCATTGAGGCCCATTGATCAACGTCCGAAATCTGAGGGCGGCGACAGATTTACAATACAGGGTGGCCACACCGTGCTTCTCATTGATTTTGACCCTTCACACGAGAGCTAAATTTAGCCTCATGTTTTGGTGCGGCACAATGCATGTTGTGAGGATACACCGTCTCGATTGTCTACTCCGGCTGACAAAAATCTTCCGCTCTTTCTCATTAATTTAAAAAAAAAAGAAGTCTGACTTCACTGTTGGAGAAGGAAGGGAGACTGCAGTATCCAGTGGCGTTGCGTGATTTGCGATGTATCGATTGATCGGTTATTAAAACTCATGGAAAAGGATCGATGAACGGGGTGTTCGCAACGGAAACCTTATTAATTGATACTTCACCATAGCTTCAAATGGGAAAATATCGATTTATCGATCATTGACGCCTCGCCACTGGAAGTCCATCTGTGTAAGGAGTATCGTATAGGGCAAATCTAGGCACCAGTGGCGTGGCGTGTTTTGCGATATATCGATTGATCTGCCATTTAACCCTGTAGAAAAGGATCGATAAACAGGGTGTTCGCAAAGAACACCTTAATAATCGATACTTCACCATAGCTTCAAATGGGAAAATATCGATACTCGATCATTCACGCCACGCCACTGCTAGGCACCAAGGACAATTTCACCAAAAACACGATGGACTCTTAAAATTTCAAAGAGCATCCCCGAATTGGAAAGGTTCCCACGTATCAGCAGAGTTCATAATTGTCATTCAATAGGACGTAGTTCTGCTGAACGGAACTATAGACGAGTGGGGAAAATGGGGTGTGCTCTAGGAAGCTGGATAAGAAACAACGTAAAAGTGGGCGTGATTCCCTTTGGAAAAATTTATAAATCCTACCAGGATATAAATAAAGTAAAACTATTCTATTCTATTCTAATGTTTGATACCTTGACACCTCCCCCTCCCAAATGAAGCTTGTGGCAAAACTCTTCCATCTTGTCAATAAAATCAAAATACTCCATTAAGTGATTTGGCTCCCGTGTCTAAGCGAGAATTTTAGGTTTCAGGACATTTTGTCGACGACTTTTTGTCCGCTCACCTTTTTTGTCCAGTAGTTTACGCCAATAAGCAACGGTGACTTAGTTCAAGTGTTATATTTTAGTCGGTATGTAAAATTATATTGACAATATGGAAATGAGAAATTGAGAGAGAAGGAGGTACCGTTATGGTCGCTCATTTTGCATTTTCTAAATGAAATATTATTACTTTCTCCTTTTGAATCATCTTTTTAAATTGTCATTGGTGAATATTTGGTTTTATTTCTATCCTTAAAATATTCGATGTACACTAAACCTTATATATGTATAGGTACTTTTTCTGTTTTTTTACATTTTTTCTTCACGAAATTATTACTTCATTTTGAAAACATTCATATTTTTAAAACGTGGCAAATATTTGTAAACCCTGTTCCAAGCGACATTAATCTCAATAAGCAGTTGTGCCGACAGAAACTGCAAAAATGAATAAAAGAGGAAAAAAAACCAAGAAGCACGCAATCTTTAGTTTTAAACCATTTGTACATTGATCTTTTAGAGTCAAATACGTCAAATTTTGAGCGTTTGGTTACGCGCACACCTCGCTGCAGCACAATTAAAGCACAAAATGTAAAATAAATAATCAAAGTGCTTTGGAAATCATTAACTTTGACACGGAACCACCAATATTTAAAAAACACACATTATATTATTATTCTCCTTTGATTAATTGATACATATTTTTTGCCCATCAATTTAAATGAGAATAATCAATGCAGAGTGTGCAAACATTTCAAAATCCTGAGTTAAAAAACGCTGACAATGCCAGTATAAATATTAAAGCCTAAGAGAGCGGAGCGGCCGGCGTGCTGCCAGCGCGAGAGGCTCACTGGCGCCTACAAACCTAAGTGGATACTTCGCGCATTGCACAATGCTTGAAGTATCCACTTAGGTTTGTAGGCGCCAATGCGCGTTCCGCGCTGGCCGCCTGCCCGCCGTGCGGCGGCACCTGAAGCAACTATGTCACAACAGAGGTGTTGCACAGTATTATTCGAAATTGAACGTATTAAGAATGACAGGCATCCTTTAAAAGTACAGATCTTTCCTCGCAAAATAAATCAAGATACTTATCGTACACTGGAAAAATCTAAGAGCCTTTAGCTGAGGCAAATATAGAGGTTTATCCGGTTCAGGTATAATAAGGTGGGAAAATCTTGAAAGATAATTAAGTCCTGTTACACCAAAGAGGTGTAGAGAGTTTTAGTGAATTTTGTCTCATGGAATTGACGCTCCCCCATTGTTACCAAAACTCTCAACTATATGTTATTCTCCGTTGGACCAAACAGACACAACAAAAAAAACAAGCAAACCCTCATTCTTCCAAGACATTTTACATTTCCACCCAAAAACGTCGTGAGCAATTGTCGTTTGTATTTACATGTGGGCCAATTAACTTTGGGTCCCAACTGGCACGTGGACCAAAACTCCCGTACCGAAAAATCGCGTGGACGTAAATTACTGGAAAAAACAGTTGCGCGGACAAAAAATTGTTGACGAAATGTCCTATAACCGAATTTTAAAATGTACTCATTAGCTTTGACTTGAAATCTCCTTCAAAATTCATTCTGTGCAATGAAATATCTACGTTTAAGACGGGTTGGAAGAGATCTTAAAGAAGAAAAATCATCTAGGGGCGTCTTAAAATTTCGGGCTCGGACTCAAAAGAACGTGAAATCTGCGTTGGTGAAACAAATGAGCACTTGAGATGAGTTGACAATTAAAATTGTGTACATTTAGTATCAAAATAATTATTGATTAATTATTCAACTGCGGGCTGATTATTGAAATTTATTGACAAAGCAATAGACAAAGAAGACAAAAAGGATATGGAGGGATCCTATTGGTGGATCCAACCAATAGGATCGCCCTACACTCCTTATATCTTCTTTGTCTATAGCTTTGTCTATAAATTTCAATAATCGGCCCGCAGATCTCCTCACTTAATTCCCGATACTCTTAAATTTCAGATCCGGGAGAGAGCGCGGTCATTGACACCTCTTCCAAGAGATCAACGGAGGGAGGCAAGTGTTTTAAGCGATTACTTAGCGGAGTCACAAATCAAGCAGCGAGGTAAGACAATAATTCCAAGGCTTATTAATATATGTTAATAATATATTTTTCACTTACATTTGGACCGCGTTAAACAGAAAGGAACCAAGGAACATCAGCTATTGCTAAATTTAATTGGAAAATTTAATTTTTTACATGATAACGGTTGTGCGGATGCTCGTGCAAATTTCAGTGGATTTTCTCCGGAGTACAAAGGAAATTCCTTAACATTTTTAAAGGAATCCACAGATAATTAGGAAAAAGTAAATTACTCAGTTAAATTTGGCAATAGCTGATGTGGTTTGGTACCTTTGTGTTAAACGCGGTCCCCTCTTCCTTGCAGTTAACCCAGTCCCTGCACGTGAACGTGAAAAAAAGATTTTTACGGGAGATTCAATTGAATCAATGAATTCTTAATTTTGATGTAACGTCGTGAGCACATCCGACAATGTTTTATCTCTTGTTTGATTTTAAGTCGTATTTACTCATAAATGCACACCAAAACTCATACTTTAGGAAGTTCCTAAAAAAATTATGATAAAGACGAATCAATCGACATTAAATTGATTCATCAATTCCGAGAGGCTAAATGCTCTGCTTCCCAATGAAGAAATTAGAAAATAAAACTTTAAAAATACTTAAAAAAACTAAGAATAAAACTAAGTTTAACTTGAACTAAAACCAATACTTGAAAATAAACTTCAAATATTAGAGGGTTAGACCTGATCAGTGAACTTCTTCAATATTCACTGTTGCTGTGCTAAAAGACTTTCAAGGTACTTACCGCAGCTTTCAAAAATTACAGTGTGTGGAACTTGTAACATTTTATCAACCCTTTTCGGCAGAATTTCTCGTTCTTTTTGTGCGGAATGGAAGTGATCCCATTTCCTGGACCTACTTCTGAATTCCGGAACTTATGAGATTATTCTGAATTTTTCCGAAGCTTTTGAGATTATCCTGAATTTGTCCGGAACTTTTGAAATTTTCCTGTATTTTTCCGGAACTTTTGAAATTTTCCTGAATTTTCCCGGAACTTTTGAAATTCCCGAAATGTTCCGGAACTTTTGAAATTCCCGAAATGTTCCGGATCTTTGTATTTTCCGGAACTTTCTCGGGGCTTTTGAAGAAATCTTAAAGGAATCCTAGAACTTTTGACGGTCATGGAGTGGGAGACTTTGGAACAAAAAAGAGGGTTAGACCTGATCAGTGAACTTCTTCAATATTCACTGTTGCTGTGCTATAAGACTTTCAAGGTACTTACCGCAGCTTTCAAAAATTACAGTGTGTGGAACTTGTAACATTTTATCAACCCTTTTCGGCAGAATGTCTCGTTCTTTTTGTGCGGATTTCCGAATCCCGGAACTTTTGACGGACATGGAATGGGAGCAATGCGGAATTGGGCTGTTTCTGCCGAAACTGGACGCGCCCATTCCGCGATACGCGCAACTGACCTATTAATCTCAAAATTACGCACGAACGACGCGCCTCACGAAGGAGTTCGGGTGCATCGCGGCGCCTCCAATTTTACCTGTACGCCCGATCGCAGCGCTGGCTCGCCCGGGCGGGAAAACGCCCGAGTTCAGTGTATCCCGCTTGAATTTTTGACACGTTTTTTTTCCACGGCGCGGGAGCGTGGGCGGATGCTGCCCACTGCAAGAGGGCGGGTTGGGGGGCTGTTAAAATTGGGGGAAGGGGGGCCGGGGGCAACGCCGGTGGCGCCGCTAACGCAGCCGGACGCGAACGCAGCGCCGCGAGTTATTTTGAGCGCGATATGCTACGGATACCTAGTTTTTTATTAGTTCATAAAGTTTGAAAGTATTCCGGGTTCCAACGGTTCTTTGGAGTCGCTCGCGGAAGTTGTGTTATCTATTTGCGGCAATAGTCGAGTGGTCGGAAATTTTCATTGAATTAGTAACGGGGCAAAAAGATCAAACAAAAATTTGCCGTGTGGTTTTTTGGCCCCTTGTGTGCTCTCTTTTTTCGTGACGAGTAGTCTTCGCTTAGAATCTGTGGGAACAAGTTCGGTTTGAAAGTATTTCGAGTTCCAACGGTCCTCTAAAGTTGCTCGCGGAGGCTGTGTTATCTGTTTGCGGTGATAATCGAGTGGTCAGAAATTTTCATCGAATTAGTGACGGGGCAAAAGATCAAAAGAAAATTTTTTTTTTGGTTTTTTGGCCCCTTTTTTGCTCTCTTTTTTTGTGACGCGTTGTCTCCGTTTAGAATCTGTGTGGATAAATTCTGTGCGGCTTAAAATACTTGCGGATTTTTCCGGGTGTTAAAATTCTGACCTTGAAACGCGTGCTCCGTTTCAAAAAAAGAGTTCGGAGATTATACATCTCTATCATTTTGGTACCCTGCTTTTCAGTCTAAGTGATCAGTGACGAGGCGTGAATGATCGATTTTCGATATTTCCCCTTTGAAGCTATGATAAAGAATCGATTATTGAAGTGTTCGTTGCGAACACCCTGTTCATGGATCTTTTTTCATTGGTTTATATGGCACATCAATCGATATATCGTAATGCACGCCACGCCACTGCAGGTGATGTAATCGGGTGAGGTAAATGTTACGCTCGCATATCAACATTAATTTTCGTCCTATCATTGACTTGCTGAGCATTGCATTAGTTCGATGATTTGAAGATGATTGTCCAATCAAGCAGTTTGCGACACAAGTTTGTCAAATGAGGCTTGGTTCGATAAACAGATCGAGCAGCTTTCTTGCTATCGGTCATCATTAAGCGAATTTAAGTGTTGATTTCAGAACATAACTTTTACAAAATAGGTAGAATGGAAATAAAACGCGTCTAAAATCAGTTGTCTCTGTTTGTGTTTATTTGCAAAAAGAAGAGATAGGCATAACTTGCGAGCCAATCCTTTTTTGACTCCCACGTCTAATTGTGTGTTTTTACATCACAAAATGCTCCTTTCCCTTTAAACTTTTTAAAATTGACGTTAAGCGAGAAATTGAGGGTCAAAAAGTTTCAACTCTCGGCTCTGTGTTTGCCGCTGCTCGTTTTTTTTTTTTTTTACTCGTATTTGTTTTGTTTTGTTTTGCCCCTCCCTGGAGTGGATTGTCTGTACGATGAAATTCGCTTTGTAATAAAATTTCTCGTCTCTCAATATTCCAACGAAAAAAAATTGCCTCGCGATTATCTATAGATTTCCCGACGAAATGATTTTTTTCTTTCGTGAAAAAAATTAGCACTTCTTTGTTGAGATCAGGGCACTTGCGTGGCGTTTCTTCCATGATTGAAAAAGTGAAAATGCTATGCTACTTTCCATTGCTCCCTCAGACAACTTAAATAGAAAGTTTAATTTCTAAGAGCTTGTTAGAGATAATTTTGACGCGGAACTTTTGAACTAAAATTTATTAATAATAAGCTTGTAACAAGTGGGACTCGTGTAATGAATTGCTTCCGTGCAGCAGAGATTTCTAATTCAATACATTTTTTCAATTCAAAATTTTGAAAGAGACAATATGGTGATAGTGGTTTTCTCCACAAGTAACTGAGTAACAGCTGTTATGCCATAACTACGGGCTAAAAACTTTGAAAACAATTGGCTCTATAAAATTTGGATTCTTCTCATATTGCGGCAATGAGTCTGCTGCACGCAATAGATATGGCCAACGGAACATATTCTCCAAGGGTAAATTCACTCGAAAATCATGTTGGGCACATCAAAAAAGTCTGAAATTTTCAAATCTAAAAATCTTGCCAATATTTGCTTGTGATCAAGCGCAAAATCAGTGGAATCTGTAGGTAAAGCGACCTCCATCAGTATCCCAGGAAAAATACATTTTGCGGGTTAAAATTTCGCTGCATTGAAATGCAGTTCCGTTCCTTATCTAGGAAACGACGAATCATGCTAAAAGAAACTATGTACTAATGAACTAAATCAAACGAAACTACATATAAAGTACGTAAAGCCAACACAGTTCACTGAAAAAAATATGGTGCATTTAACCATACTCTGACACAGTGATGCGAGTGTGTTAATCAACACTAGATTCGGGGATGGTATTTACCATATTTTGATTAGCATCACGAGAGTTTTAGTGAATATTACCATAATTCCGGTTATTTTCACTAAATAGTCTCATTGTGTAAAAAATCAAGTAGACTTATGGTAGATGTTACCATACTTTTTTTCAGTGAATTCACAGCTCTTTTTGGCATGAATACGTCCAATTATTTAATCTAAAATCCCTGCGAGATGCAGGGGCTCCATTCAGCACCAAAAAAGATTCCATATGCGTACGATCGCCCTTTTAATTTATCGCGAATCATAACTCTAACACGGATCCACCGCAGATCCGTTAAAATTTACGATCGCTGCCATTAATTATCCAACACGGTAGCGCGCTAAATTCACGCGCCGAACCCCGTGAAACCGCCCGAAAGTCAGTGTAGCTCTTGGAATTTGTCCAGGTCTCGATAGCCGTGAAATTGTTGCGCTAAACTGTTGAAAGTGTTAAAATCCCGGTCGGTAGACCCAAAAGTGTGAGGATCGCCGGAATCCCTTTGTCGGAGTGGGAACAGTGACATTCGAAGCTTCTGAAGACGCGTTAGTGAACTTGGCCGGCCGAGCTGGACGTTAGTTTTTAGAATGGTGTCGGTGCTCAAAGCTGATGAGGAGCCGGATAAAAACTCCTTGCAAGTCATCAAAGCCGCCTGGGCCATCAGAGATTGTGCCATCTCGGAGTTTTTACATGATTTGACGGATCACCAAGGTGTGTTTTCAACTTTACGTATACTTAAAAGTTATAAAACCAAAAGTTTGATTTCGGCTGTCTTTTATAAAATGCATTTTTTTCTGACGCATCAGCCATGGACTCCGCTCGTGTGGAAAAATCCATACAAAAAAATCCATTCATGGCTGATACATCGGAAAAAACTGTATCTTAAAAGTCACGGCCAGCAAAGAGTTTTATACCCCTTAACATCCTGAATTTTTTGTCTTTTGAGATTTTTAAAATTTTCCAGTCTTTATAAGTCAATTAAAGCTCCTGAGAGTAGAATAATGGAAATAAATTAGACGAAGTCTCAGGTCATGCTAGATGCCGTCGTACCATTCCTATATGACACGCTAGGGTGTTAAAGAGTTAAATGGCATAGGATACCATGAAATTAATTGGAGGTCAGAAAGCGTGCCATAAATGGCACGCCAAGATGTCAAGGGATAAGTTACCCCAGTAGCATCGGCTGTTAGCAAGGAGTTTTAAAAACTCTTAAATTTCAAAGAACAAAACCCCTGCCTCAAAAATACTGTTAAAATATTTGAGTCAAGAAACCCTTTTTGTTGTTTTTTACAGAAAAATGCCCTCCTTGCACTTTTACATTTGTTTAAATACATTTTAACAAGAATTTTGTACCTCGTTACGTTTATGTTCGGTCACAGTAGAAGGTTTGAAAAATAATGCGAGTAGTTTAAGCCTTGGAGCCAAGTTAACCTGGTCCAGGATCCGTTCGTAGCTCCTTGAACTTTGCTCATTCTTGGCCTTTGGGGCCGTCCCTATATTCCGTAACGCACTTTTTCGGCATATTTGACACAACGCTTATGTGACGTAGGTCCCTATCCTATAACAAGTAAAATAAAAATGGCGTATTACGCTCTCCTAGACCTTCTCTCTTCCCCAGAGCGTTACGTAATCTAGGGACAGTCCCTTGACCATGATATTGTTAATCGTTAACGGAATAACAACAGATTATTAGCAGAAAGTAAGATACAAAGAGAGATCAACGTGTCAAGTATTGACAGGGATAAAACCGGTCACCCACTGCCGCACAGTGGATCGAGTCAAAAGGACAGGTCGGACAAAATTTGGGAACTTTAAACGATTATAACTCCGTTTATACAAAATTTTGAGACTTTAAAAGTGGTTTCATTGGTTTTCCAGTGAAATTTTCTTCCTGAGACACTCTTTGAAATATTAAAATGTGACAAATTAAGTATCAAAATTTTAGTCAAGAATTTCATGTCCGAGCTCTCCAATTGACTCGATCGACTGTGCGCCGGCAACAGCGGCTTAAAAATACAGTCATCGGACTTAGATTGTTTATACATTTGTGCCCTTCACGAGGGTTGATCAAATTCTCACCTGCGCTAATCTGGGTCTCAACTGTGCACCATAGTTGCCAAAGCAAGCAAAAACATTCGTTGATCTGAACACCGGTGGTGGCCTAGAACAGGGAAATTATAGGTTTGTTACAATTTAACTCAGGCTCATTCCATTTTTGTTGGAGCCGAAGTTACATATCGTGGATAATTTTAATTCGTCTGCGTTGCTAAATACAAAATCCCTATTTGTACTCATTATACTTAAAGTGTCATTAACCTCTCTTCCACGTTTTTTTATGCACGATGTAGATCAACAATTATTCAGGGTGCTCGATCATTGTTGGGCAACTTAGAGCTCTGGTTGACTCAAATTAATTTACGTATAAATAAAATAACACGCAGGGCTTTGGAACATCGAAAATAAATGTTTCACATTGACGTACAAATTGGATTTCAACGTAACGATCAATCTAATATTGAATCCTATGACTTATCGTAGGCATTGGCTATTGACAACTCTTCGTGCGCCTACAAAATGAGTGATACAATTATATCAACTCCTGAGCCGCTCAAATTGTATCCATTGAGTTGAAGGCGAACTTGATTGCGCGTTCTTGTCTTACGACTTGAGACACAGTCCGAAGACTTGAGAAGGGCCTAAAGTGCAGTTTCTGAAAAAAATTGAGTTATTAGTGATTTCAACTTAAATTAATCTGAAAGTATATTCTGTTAAAAAATAACTACCAAAATCCAATTTTTAAGCATCAAAATATAAGTTTGAACTTTCTTTCCATCTTAAGACGTCATTTAATTAAATTAAAACTGTTAAACGCGTATTTTTCGAAATAACAAAACCTGCACTTGAACGCTTTGTACTCCAAGCCCTTCAATCGAAAATTACCAAAGGGGCCTAATTTCATCGCACTGTTGCAATATTTCATTTGAAAATATATTCACTTACTTAAGCGTGGTGGTAATTTTTTTTTTTTGAAATTTCGTCGTAAATCTTTGTAAGATATAAAATTTTAGGCAACAAGTTATCGTGATTAATAGACTTAAATAAAGATGTAATCTACCTATCAATAACGGAAAAGTTGTCAATGAATAACTAACTTCGTAGGCAATTAAAATATTACAGCATTGAGAAGTGATTAAGCGCCTCTGTCTCATTCCTTTAGTTACAGTCGATACAAATCAGGGATCAGGTTTCATTAAAAAGAAAAAAAAAAAAAAAAAAAAAAAAAAAAAAAACTAATCGTCAGTTTTTCTTGAGAGTTTGGTTAGTTTGAGTTAGAGTTGTTGGATGTGGAAAATTCTATTTGACAGTAAATGGCCATATTTGTCGGTCTATCTGCGTTAATCCTACACGTGGCATCGATGTGTCCCTATAGATTTACTCGTCAACAGGAGGGAAATTGATTCAGTGCGTTGTTGGCAGTGATTCGCGTGTCATCATCGACGTGATTCATCTGAAATGATTGATGCTGGGATAATGTATTGTTTCGATATCCCAGACGCTACGTAGCGACGTTTAAGTAAATAATTCAACCACTGACGCACGTTAAAGTACGATGTATTGTACCATATGCGAGTGCACGGCAACACCCTACAGGTGAAAAAAAAACAGCAGTCTTTCATGGTCAGCAACTGGCAAAATATCAGACCTTAAAAATTTACGCTCGTGTAATTTCACGGGAATTCAAGTTTCTTTTAAGCATCGAGCTGTCAATCAAACTGACTGCATCTCTGAGCGAAAAGATAATTTCATAAAATGGTTAGTCACATCCGCCTTTTTTAAGTTGAAAAGAGCGACTTAAAGTACTTCAGTACCGGAAATAAACAAAAAATATCGATATCTCGATCTTTGGTGGAAATGCCTGTTTCAATTCTAATTTATTCTAATTTACTGCAGTAGTAACGTAAAGATCGAGAGAAAGTTAGGCAACATAGGCTGATGATGGTTATCTGTCTAAATAGCACACACGGCTGCCGCACTTATGCATGGCTTCCTCATATGTCTCGTATTGATACAATTGAGATGAATTTTGCTGTTTTAGCTATTTCAGTGATTTCATCTAAAAGAAATTACACGAATTTTGAAGGAATCTCGATTTTGAAAATGTGACACTTACTTCTTGATTTGTATTAGATAGTCATGACATATATTGTTAGAAATAGTTTTTGTAGGCTCTCCAGGAAGCGTAAAAAAATATATGAGGTGTATTCGAAATGATGCTCGAAAGACAGCAACGGTTTCTGTATGTGAAATGAGATTCCTCGAAGAGTGCGTGAGGTGAGGCGTGATTGGCCACTCGTTGTATAGCTTGTTGCAGCAGTCCGGATTGAAGGGGATTTTGGAACCCTAGGCCGCGAGAATTATGAACGTTTACGTTTATGTCTACAGTTATACCTTACACTATTGCAAATCTTGGTATTAAGTGATTTGAAATGCCTGAATATTGTATCAGGAGCTCCAAAATGCAGAACCTCATTAGTTGAGTCCGCTAAAAAATCAGCTTGAGCTAAATGTCTCACTTAACAGTTTAACAAACATGATGCATGCCTTTTATTTCTGTGTATTACAGATTTTATCTATACGTTACTCTTTGATCATGAAGAGATGATACTACTTTTGATCCCAAAAGAAAAATTTTAATGTACGATCGAAACCTTTATTTTTTGTTGCAACTAAATTCTGCCGGAGTTTACAAATTCAAAGAAATTTTATTTTGACCCTAAATTGTTAAACTTTTCCATTCCGTGACATAGCAAAAAAACTGTTTAACCTCCTAGCTCGATGTTAATATCTACGGATGTCTGTTCTGATTTCAGAAGTTCCTGGCCGTATCGCGGGTCAGCCACAAGTCGTCGAAACTGGCCGAAATTGGGTGACAATCTCATGGCCGAAACCAGAAATAAAAGACTCTACCCCCGTCCTAGCCTACAAAATTGAAGCCTGGCTTGTGGGTGCAGAAGGAGGTGCAAAATGGAAAGAGGTGATTACATTTATGTATTTTAAACTTAAAAGAAATATTTTGGTGTGAATTTTTTATTTACCCTTTCCTTAAAATTTAACTTATTTAATCTGAAAAAAGTTAAATGATTCCACTCATTTAGCAAACTTTGTCGCCTCATCTGCAAAAATACAGAGCTTTTTAGAGTGCATTAATTGTACTAAAATTGACATCGCTTCCAAAGAACAGCAGCCACTCATCATCTCGCAAAGGAGCAGTATATTTCTTGCTATACCGCCCTGTTTAAAAGGGTACCCGGTACCCTTCTCTCTGCTTCTACCCTCGAAACTTTTTTTTAGCGTGCCTTTTATTGAAAAACAGGCACGCTTTTTATCTCTTTCAACTTTCAAAGCTCGCGTTTGTTTTTTAACATTTCAGACATAATGCTGCTTATAAGTCTTAAAATTTTAAATCTGAAGTAATTTTTAAATAATCACTGATTTTGGAACCAGACTGTTAAGCAGCGTGACGTGGTGGATTTTCCCTGGTAAAAATTGGCAATAAGAGCTGCGTTTCAAAATACCATAGGAATTCTTATAGCCGGCTAAAGAAGGCTACAGAAAATCATATAGCTGGCTGTAGCCCGGCTGTTGCTTTTTCGCCATTGATTATAAAAGGCTATAAGAAATTGTGTTGAAATTCGTGTGCTTTGGAAATCATTGAGTTTGATACGGAACCACCTTAATATTTACAAAACACATATTATATTTTCCTTTAATACATATTTTTTTCATCAATTAAAATGAGAATAATCCATACAGGATGTGCAAATATTTCAAAATCATGAGTTGAACAACGATGACTCCACCAGATTAAATATCAGAGCCTAACACAAAGCGGAGCGGCGACGCACTGGCGCCTACAAACCTAACAGGGATACTTCACGCATTGCGCAACGCGTGAAGTATCCCTGTTAGGTTTGTAGGCGCCAATGCGCGTTTCGCGCTGGCTGCCCGCCTGCCGCGCCGCAGTGTGCCACGGCGCTTGAAGCAACTATCTCACACCAGAGGTATTGCACAGCATCATACGAAACTGAAGGCGCTCTAATATATTAGTAATGACAGGCATCCATCAAAAGTACGGAGCTTTCCTCGCAAAATAAATCAAGATACTACGGCCCATAAAGAGAGCAGTATTCGAAAAACTCACTAAGTCCTAGCATCCGTAATTAGTAACGTTTAGCATACACTTTATTGCCTGGCTGTTGCTTAGTTGCCATCGGCTATAAACGGCTATAAGAAATTGTGTAGCCGGCTATAGAAGCTATTGGAAATCTTACAGCCGGCTGTAGGTCTATGGTATTTTGGAACACAGATTCTACTGCCAATTCTACCAGGGTTTTTCGGAACTACAGCTGAAGATTCACCATAAAGCAATACTTTCTTTCCCATAGACTGAGTTTCTTTTGTAAATGTTGATCTATTTTTTTGTTTTGCAGCTGGGCGTGACGCCGAGCAATACCCTGGATGCCTTCAACCTGCAGCCGGGCGGGGAGTATCTCTTGAGAATCCGGGCGCGGAACCGCTACGGCTGGGGCGAGCCGCTCATCAGCGATAAGCCCATCGTCATCGGGCAGCTGGTCGACATGCCGGAGATCGTCAAGGACATGCCCGCCCTCGTCAGGGCTCTCGATGGTACCAATGTCGCACTCACCTTCTTCGTAAGTTTCCACAACATCTTAATACATTTAGAGGTTCTATAGATGGCTGTAGGTTCCACATCTGGAATATAAGCCAGTAAACCAACAGAAGAAGAATTTAGAGGTTATGGGCACTTAGCAGCCAAATCAGAGACAATATATCATAGAGTATAATAGAGTCCAGCAATGCGCAATTTGCAACCTCTAAGTGACTTCGAGAGAAACAAGAAAACATTCGTTTAGCCATGGGTGCAGAATTTTACGACCTGGCGAGATATACCTCGCGGGTGAACTTTGTACACTGCAAAACACGGTGTGCACTCTGGCGCGCTGATTTTTTGTTAAAATTACCTCGATAGCGTTGAGTTTTGTTAAATATACTTCAATGACGCTTAAATGTCAAAGTTACCTCAACCGCGCTGATTTTTTGTCAAAATTACTTCGGCCGCGCTGTGTCCTAGTGCGCAGGGAAAATTTGCGTTTTGCTGGTGAAAGCGTATACAGATGAACTTTCTGCAAATGCGTTCAGCAGGACACTTCTTTTCCTAGACTTCTCTCTTCGCCTCTTTTCTTTCCTGAATGTCTCGGAGTTATCTATGGTTTCGGTCGGTTTAACCAAAAATTTGGTCCATGCCTCGACCAAATTCCTTTTGGTTGGCGCGACCGCAAGTAACGAAATGTAACTGAAAGTAACCCAAAGCAACCATAAACACAGATTTTTTTTTAACTTTGTAGGAAATGAGAATCTCGAGTGATTTGTCAATTGCAGGCTATGTTTAACTTGGAGTCTCACAGCTGTGTTTTAGTCTGGCTTATGAGAGTCAAAAAGTAGCTTCTGAGCCCTTCTAATCGCTGTTTGGATTGTCCACATGGAATGGGCCGCCAAACACTTCGACAAAATGACCCGGATGAAAAACGCGACTAATGCCCGCGTCGCATACCACAGTTCAAGAGCGTCTATTGTCGCGACACTTGAGGGAGCTGCTGCCACATTTCACTGAAATAACTCTTTCGTCCAAGCGAAAAGTCAATTGATTTGAATGGATATGGCAACTTAATAGCACACATGCTTACTATCGTTCATCGCGTAATTCAGAACGTCTCAGTTCATGGGCGGAGTTAGGAACTTTTCATGGAGGGGAGGGCGAAAGAGCATCTCAAGGAGGGCTGAGGGAGCAATAAAAAACACCGCAAAAGGGGGGCCTGTGGGACTCCTCCAACTCTAAGGAGGGCTCGCCATATACGTAACTTCGAATGGGGAGCCAGGGAGCCATATTCCAGGAAATTTTTGAGAAATTAAAACGTTCTGCGGTCGCGGTGAATAAATACAGAAAATCATAAAATTCAAAAATAAAGAACAAGATTAGAGTGCAGAGTATGTTGCTTATAATGTGAATATAGACATTTTTCCATCCTTAAAAACATAGCAGGAATATGCACACTTAGGGGAGCGTGTAGTGAACTCCATGACATCAGTTGGGTTGAGATCGGACAGGCAACTAAACTAACATATTGACAAAGCGTCGAGTATCACAAAAAATGAAGGCGCTTCAAGCCGAGCTCATACTTTTCAAGACCATAACCCTTGAAAATTGCATTAGGCCGATGCGCATCATTGCGATTTATGGAAACAACGTGTGAACCGCTTGCAAATTGCCGGCGATTGCTAATTGCCTGCGACATATACAGCTCGTAACTTTTTTTTTCAGTGAGTGTCTTACAGACTTTCATGACATGCTCACAGTGATTTTTGAGCCATTTTCTATTCGAAACAACTCTTCTTTTAGCTTTTAGCGAAATTTTGCAACAGACCCGTTGTTTTTTGTGTAACTTCTACTCTTCGCGCAAAGATATACTAGAGTCCCTTTATACTGAGAGTCAAGACAATGTGAATCCATTTCTGATTGGTTCCCGTATTTTAGGCCTCCACAGTGTCACAAACGGGAATCAAGATTACATTTTTACCAATTGCAAAGATTATAATCTGGAATGGACCGAGGAATTACGGGTTCGACAAGGAACAAACGGAATGAGAGAAAGAACGGAGAAAGGAATTTGAGAATGAGCCGATCAAAGATTACGAAAAACGTTCAATTTGTGTAATCTTAATTCAAGTTTGTGACTCCATGAGGGGGTGTTGTCTTGACTCTTAGTATAAAGGGACTCTAAGATATACCTGTGGTATTCAAGACGATGATCTATTGTTGTTCGCAGGCGAAAAGCGCCACCCTGCCGGTGTTCACGTGGTACAAAGACGGGGAGCTTTTGAACTTCGAGAAGAAGCCGAGCGAGAAGTACGAGAGGACTTTCGACGGCCGGAAAGTGCGGCTCCTCATCGTCTCGGCGACCGCCGACGACGCGGGTCACTACGTTTGCGAGGTGAAGAACGAAAAAGGAAGGGTCTCCTCCCACGGTCGTCTGGAAGTCGTCGCCGACAAGAAGCAGTGGGACGCGATGGAGAAGCTCAGGAAGTAAGTCAACTCAAAAATCAAATGCATCGGGTCGAAAACAGCCAAAAGTTTTTCGGGGAACAAGAGATCTTCTCGTCAATTGGACCGCGTTAAGCAGACAGAAACCAAGTCACATTAGTTATTGCCAAAGGAGGGGTTGCGATTTGGGCCGAAATCGGCCCCTCCACGGAATCGGGAATTTTTTTGATAGTTGGCAGTCGACAATGCATATTTAACAGGAATAATCAAGTTTTGGCGATACTCACATTTTTTGGCTGCGAAACATGAGCCTTAACATGGCCTCGGAGCCCAAAATGGCTAAAATCCCGTGTTTTTCACGGTTCTACCTCAAATTTCGACCTGGGCCCAAAGACGATCAGGAACACCTAGACACGTAACTACTTGAATATGAGTAATCGTCGCCTTTGGGGCCCGAGTTCAAAATCTAGCTTTTCTAACTTTTTAGCCCGAAATAGCTGGAAATCCATATTTTTCGCGGTTCTATACCTCAGATTGTGACCTCGGCTCAAAAGGCGACGGGTCATGAACTTCGAAGATGCTGTCAGGGACACCTAGACACGTAACATACGAGTATTTGAATATGATCAACCGTCGCCTTTGCGCCCAAGTTTAAAATCGAACTTTTTCAACTTTCTTAGCCCAAAGTAGCCAAAAATCCATGTTTTCCGCAGTTCTATTTCAGATTTTGACCAGGTTTAGCGCAGTTCTCATGGAATTATTTTTCGCGCCATTCCTTCCTTTACTACTTATTAATTTTTTTTAGATTTTATTTTGGGCCACTCTCCTAGAGCTTGGGAAAGAAAAGATTAGACAAAAATTACATGAATCTGTATGTATTAACCATCAGTTGACCCATTGGTTAGCACAAGCATTTCTGTTGAAAGTTGTATTTTTCTGACGGGACAAAAGTCCAATCCTTTATTTCCTGGCTCTAAATTTTACTCATGTTTCAGACACCGATCATGAAAATTGTCTTATTTCAGTGCCGCAAACCAAGAGTCTCCAGATAAACCGCCAGAGTTCGCCATGCATTTACGGGACCGACGGGTGAAGGTCAACTTTCCCGTGCGACTTACATGCCAAGCCACCGGCTTCCCTGAGCCTAAGGTCCAGTGGTTCAAGGATGATGAAAGAATTTTTGAGGATGGTAAGTTGAAACATTAATTCCTGGATCGAGGTGTTGACCTGAACTAATGCAAATTAAAACCTTCCTCAATCTCCGACAATAAGACCATCACCGACCAATAATGCATATTTGTAATTATCCAATGCTCCTGAAAGGGACCTTTTGAAATTCAAGAAAATGTATTGAAAATGAATAATGAAAATCGTGAAATGGGATCTAATCGGCTGTCAAGTCAAACTTCCCAATGAGATGAGTGTGTATCGTTTTGAAAGGTGTTTAAGAATTTAGTGTTGATTAATAAGAGCTCCATTTTTTATCCACGAATTTGAAACATACCTCAGAGATATTGAGAATTTTGACACGTAAAGAGATCGATCATTCAATCCTGATCTCCAATTTTTCCCCTCATTCAGTGTAAATAATTCAGGTGTCAGGTCATGGTAACGACCTTTGACCGTAAAAAAAAATCTGCATCAGACCGAAGATTTTGCAAAAATTTAATGTCTTATCATCTTCTCTCTCTTCAATTTGTACATAAATGCATTCTAGTCGCTTCCATCATGTCACCTGTAAAAACATTGCACATATACCATGTCCTTACCCTGTGTATTTGTTTCTCTGTTACTCTCTGTACTTTCTTGTCTCACGGTATGTGTTCAAAGCTTCTGAAATATTGACAGCCTAATATAATGCTCAATTTGTTATGTAAACGATGTGTTGTCAGAGAAGTTTTCAAATTCTACTTTATTTTAATGTGCGAGTATTAAGTCGTTGAATTTTCAATTAAAATAATTGCTAAATGTAACTATCTGAGTAATGTTGGTCGACTTTACTGAGAGTGGCTACCGCCACTCAAGATCAAAAGTAAAATATGGTTACAGTTGAAAACGAACGAAATCTAAGTCCACTTATGTATCATCAGGGTGTCTACAAGTCCGGAATTTCCGGAAAGTCCGGAAAAAGTACTGATTTTTTAAGGGCGATCTGGAAGAAGGTACTGAAAAAGTGCAGAAATTCCACAAGAGGGTCCGGAATTTTTTCGCTTTTTCGTCATTTTTGTTGGAATTTGAGCGCGGAATTCAAATTTTTGGAATTTTTCGAATTGTGTCAAATGCAGGTACTGAAAAAGTACTGAATTTTTCTGTTGAGGAGGTACTGAATTTCTTTGAATTGTACTGAATATGTAGTACTGTGAAAGTACTGATTTTTGGCCAACCTGTTTTAGTAGACACCCTGGTATCCCATTCTTTTTTGTACATATTTTTCCCCTTTTTCATGTTCATTTCTGGTGTTGGTGAATGTCCTTGTCTATCTTTTCCTGTACTCATAATTTTATTCAAAGTTAAAATGGAGTAAAAGTGCACCTATACCACCACGAGTCAACTAATAACTGATTGCGAGTGTACAGTTATCTTCAGTTCTCTGTAAATTTATCGTTAAGGAAATTTTTCGTATGTACATAATTGTTACTGTGACAGGACTTTTGAGTGATGCTAAAATCACACTACTTTAAGTGTATTCTCTTGTATTGACAAAAAAATCCAAAGTCTCCAATCTGGACACGTGCTTTCTCAGTGTATGTACTCATAATTGCGATTACTCACAGCAATTGATTTACCTTCTAAATCCTTTCGCAATGCCTTGTGCTGTGCTGTCTTGTTCTTTCTATGTTCGAGTTATTCTTAATTTATATTTTTCTTCTCTCTACTGTTTCAGCTTTCTATTGCTACCGCTTTAGCCCATTGTAAATAATTGACACAAAAGCAATAATAAATTTCATTACGAAATGACATGAAATCGAATAATTTTATATTGCGATTTTCCTCCAACCTGCCAATAATGCATCTGACATCTATGAAGTGATGCTCCCTTTTCATCTTCATAATTTATTTCATGCTTGTATATTTTCTCTCATGCATGAAAATTAAGCGCACAGGTGGTGATATTCATTGCAGGGCACTGGGGCAATGGGGCAATGGGGCATAATATAAAATTGTATTTTAATCAAAGCGCATGAACGCAATGCAGCTACTAACTTGCTGTGTATTGCTGTTTCTTAATGCTTATACTTTTGTATAAAATGGACTGCTAAAACTGTCAGATAACCGCCTTAATAATAATTTTTTTTCCAAATCTCGACCGTGCCGAATTATGCGTCTACTCGTGCATTTTTAAGGCAACTAAATCGACACTTTTGGTTCTTTTAATATGAAGGATTTGGATTTATGAATTAGTTACTGACCAAGAAAAGAATATCATCAAAAATTCTATGAGCTTTACAAATTAGGGGAAGTAATTTTCGGTTCATGTAATCGTATTTCTGGCCCAAGGAACCAAACTCTCTCTTTGAACTGTTTGAGAGGTTGGAATGGAGGTCTTGCATGTGTCAGGGTTTTGATATTTGAGTACTGACTCCGACGCAAAATTTCGCGAGAAACACGATGGTACCACTGGTTTAATGGCCGTAATGAAGGGGATATCCCACGCTACCCTGAGAGTTCACCTCTACATCAAAAGAAACTCACTATGGAAAGAAAGGGAGTAAGAACATTATAAGGGTTGCTGTGTTTTCAGTTTTGGAGTCCCCAAACAAAGCGGCAACCCTTTTAATGTATTTGCTCCCTATCTTCGTATAGAGAGTTCGTCTTGATATTGAAGTAGACTCTCGGAGTAGCGTGGGATATCCCCTCAATTATACGGCTCCAACTTTGAGAGCTTTTTATGAGCTTTGGAGTTGATTTCAAAGGATTCCATGGCACCATCGTGTTTCTCGCGAAATTTTACTTAAGAAATCGCAACTTGCAAACAACTCGCAAATTCCTCACGTATGCTGTCGTGCTAAGGAAAAACGCCGTATAAACATTCGAGAGTTGCCAGATTTCCTCCGATGAAATGTTTATTCTTAAGGAGAGTTATAAATATTTTCTCTTGAAATTTATAGATAATTTAGATCTAACTACGAAGAAAATTCTCTGAAAAACTGAGCGGAAAATATTTACAAGTTTTCCTGAAAATTCGTATTTAATCGAAGGTAATTTGGCAACTAAGGAAAGTTCATACGTCGTTTTGCCTTAGCAGGGCAGTATTCAAGAGCTCCATTCATGAACCGACCAGTATAGCCTACATACAAATCCGTGCCACAGTTAGTGTGTACAAAATAATTTCCTTCGTGTCATCAGATCTATACTTAAGAACATGAAATCACAGCCGACCCCGCTAGATAAAAGTAACCACGAATTCCTAGGTCCTTTATTTAGACAGTCTCAATACACCACAAACCAAGGTGATGATGCGTGCATGCATGCGCAGATCTATTGTACCATGATAATATTGTCGAGGGCCCTATTCTAAACGATGACGGCAGAGTTTGGGCAAAATTGAGTCATTGCTCTGTATCTAATCGCCTTGAACTATTTCGTGGCTTCGAATTGTCAAATAATTTTTCGAGATGAGGACTGTAGCGTCTTGCGAACTATGGCAGAAACTTCGTGCTTCTAATACTACCTTTTATAAATTCGGGGACTTTCAATGCCATACGCTAAGAGTCACGAAGAATATTTGATAAAATTGATACTCCTCGAAAACGCAAGGAATTAAATAGAACTTTTCAACCTGTGAGACCGTTGATTCAATATGTGCTGCGAGAAAATCCAAGAATATAAATTAGGGGTGAGTGATTTTGTCCAGAGGCTACAATCAGGATTTGATACCAACGAGGATGAAGGAGAAAAATGCATGGTCACACCTCACGAGGTAAGTTTACCATACTTGATTGGAGACCTTGAGATTCGGCCCCTATAAAAACTCAACATAGTATGTACGTTCCATGAAACGGAAAAATGGATAAATGTATCGATTTTTTAGAAAAAGAAGCTATCTCTGAAACAATTAACTAAAAAATTATACTATACGACACCCCCCCCCAAAGAAAAAAAATGACAACTTTATGTGCTAAGAAACTTCTTACGCTAACAAATCAGCACAATAAGTCCTTCACAATCGTGCTAGCGATTTCTGATTCTTTGTTTTCTCTCATATTGTGCCTCATTCAATCTGATGAAACAAGGCCCGGAAGATGAATAAAAAAGCATATTGCATGGCTACCTGCTGCTTTATTATCTTAAATAAATGCAAGTACTATTTTTTTTACATGTATTTGTTCATTTTTTAAAATGTGTGTACTTGCAGTACTCATTGATACACAACGTGTATGCATGTCCATGTTAAATGTGTCAGCTTCTGGACTACATATTGTAAAAATGTATATGAGCATGACGTATACTTTTTTTCATCGGCACTGTAAATATGTACATCAGCTTTCAATCTGCTTGCCTCATCTAAGTTACCATCGAGGACATACAGAGACCTCAGAATGCTTCTGGAGCGCTTTCACGAAACATATTTAAAGCAGCATCATACTCCCTGATAGATTTTAAAAATGAACGGCAATCGCATCATTTGCTACGTAGGTCATGGTTAAATGAAGCTCCTTCGATGCTCAAATTTAGCATACGTCGTCGAAGTAAGTACGTAATCCATTTTCCGAAACATTCCCTTACATACTGTCAAAATGGACCAACAACATTCTTCATACTTGTTTGGACAAAAAAAATGTTTAGGACGAAATAATACAATTTTGGACATGAGCTATAGTTGGACCACCGTGATCTAGGCCAAAAAGCTACTGGTCATACTAACACCGAAAAAACCGGACGAATTGACCTGAAACCCTTTTTCCAGCTAGTGTAAATTTCAAAATTTAGAAGCATTACTAAAATCTTCCTGTTTCTTTCCCTCTACAGAAAAGTACGCGTTCTTCAGCGGCGAGCAGTTCTTCACGTTGGAGATCGGGAGCGCGACGGTGGAGGACGGAGGGAAGTACTCGGCGAGGGTCTACAACGAGCACGGTTCCGTCTCCTGCCACTGCAACCTCATCGTGGACAAGGGGCTCAAGGCCTACGTCATCCCCAAGTTCACGCACACCCTCGAGCCAACGGTCACCGTCAAGGAAGGCGGCACCCTACGCCTCGACGCCCAAGTCGAGGCCTACCCAACCGTCGGAATATCCTGGTGAGTTTATTTGTTACAAATTACGGGAGGGGACAAAACCTCCAAGAGTATCTGAAAATCCTCTGGGATCCGCGGATTTCCAAAGAGAACAAGAGGAAAATTTACAACGCTATAGTCAAGAGTATAGTAACTTACGGATGTGAAGTTTGGCAGCTGAAGAATCAGACACAGGATATGCTAAGAGCAACGGAAATAGATTTCTGGAGGTCAGCGGGAATTTCTAGGAGAGATCGGGTCCATAATGATAGAGTGCGTCAGATAATGGAAGTCGAAAATGACATCGTGTTCGACGTCATGACCAAACAGCAAATCTGGTACGGTCATGTCAATAGGATGACGGAAGAGAGGCTGCCAAAAAATATGCTTGATTGGGTCCCTTCTGGGAGGAGACGAAGGAGAAGCCCGGTGAAAGGTTGGCGACAGGGGGTTATGGATGAGATGAGGGAGTGCAAACTCCCTGATGACTTGTGGGAGGACCGAGTTTTGTGGTGGTTAGGCGTCGCAGAGCGTCAGAGAGCGCTGTGAGAGCGACTCTTATGTATGTATCTGAAAATCCTCGAAAGTTAGCCATGATCTGCATTACATTCTAAAACACCTGGGCGGAAATTTTAAATAGGAGACATTTCAGGGGGAACAAAGTCGGGAAATCAAGTGCATCATTTCCCCTGGAAGTCGTGTTTTCTCAATTCTGGAAGGTTTCCCAGAGAATCTGTATACTGTAAAGCATTGCCATCTCAATCCTTTCACTATAGAAAAGGCGCGCCGCTCTCTAATTGGACGGCTATCATAAAGCCTCAAAGTTGGCCCAATGTGAATAAACCTCAGCCCCTCCGCTCCTAGTTTGGCCCAATGAAACAAACAAGATGGCGACAAATTTCTACAAAGTTATAGACGTGATTTTGGATGTGATAGAATTTTTTTTACAATCAATTCCATGATTGAGTTCGGATCGAACGTTGATGGATATTTTTGCCGACAATTAGCCTTTGAATTTGATTATCATTCATTTCTCAGCCGACAAATACGTGTTCCTCTGGGTCGGGTTTGTTTACATTGGGCCAACTTTGCAGCTCCACGATAGCCTAAAACTGATGAACCAATCAGAGCGCGGCACAGAGATGGCAATACTCTCCCGTGCATAGGTACTCTGACGGTTTCTGGGATGTAAAAACTTACAAGGTCCCATGGTTGGGCCGCGTAGCGGCCAGGGGGCCTACACTTCAGTAAACTATTTAGGCCCTCGATATCGTAGATTTCGTCGGTGAATAAGCGAGGAGTCCGAGGCGGTACATCCCACATGAAGGAGCGGTGGTAGTGGTGGCGCCACGGATCTTTGAGATCTCGTAGATGACCGCGATGCAGATCTATTTAGCCACGCTTCAAATTAGGCTGTTCGACCACATCGCAGATCACAGATGTGCGCCCGAGCTCGAGAATGGGCGGTCGTTCCTGTCAAGAAATCGGGCGCGCACGCCACTCAACGCGGTTCGTTGCCGCTTTCAGCAGATTTCAAAACGAGTTCAGCAGTTACCCAAGAACGCTAGACAAAAAAGCACTAAATCAAAATGATGCACACGTTTCCACACTGAAAAAAAAAAATACGGTCTATATAGACTTACCGAAAGTTATGGGCTATATAGACAATAGACATACCGAAAGTTACAGGCTATATAGACATACCGACAGTTACGGGCTATACAGACATACCGATAGTTACGGTTGCTGGAGCCGTATTTTCAATTGCTCCGTGTGTTACGCCCGGAAAAAGGACGGTATGCCCATATAACCCGTAACTACGGCTTCCAAGGCCGGAGTTTTCACTTTCTCGCTACCCTAGTTATTCAGTGCATATGAGAATTTTACTTTTTTTTTAAATCAACTCGTGAGAGAATTGCAGCCCGAGACAATGGGGACAGGAACAAAACAAGGGGAAACGGCTACAAGGCTAAAATACAACATTAAAAAAGCAGAGGCGTTTCGACTCAATACCGAGTCATTTTCAGCCGGAAAATAAATTAAAAATTAAAAAAATATCGAAGGAAAAAAACAAAAAACACAAAAAACCAAAAGAAAACGGAAAAAACAAAAGAAAGCAAACAACAAAAAAAACCCAGAAAAAATCAGAAGAAACAAACAAACAAAATAAAACAAAAACAAAAACAAAAACAAAAAAGCAACAAGAAAATGAAAAAACCGAAACCCGAATATTTTTTTAATTTTTAATTTACTTTCCGACTGAAAATGACTCATTTTTAAGTCGGAACGTCTTGGGTTTTCTTAGTGTTGTATAATTAAATATATATAAATTTAAAATTTGAAAGTATAAGAGATTAACATTTAGAATTTAAAAATTAGAGCAATCTGATGAAAGAGTTTATTTAAATTCCAACTAATTAGGTGCCAGCAGTTGCGGTGCAACCTCTCATGCTTTTATTATAATTTTTTTTATGACTATGCCACTAGTTATTGGTGGTTTTGGTAATTGACTTATCCCGTTGATAATTGGTGCTCCTGACATGGCTTTTCCTCGTATAAATAATTTAAGGTTTTGGCTTCTAGTGCCCTCACTAATTTTTATGGGCCTTGTTCCCCGTTTTCCCCTTTGTTTTTCTCCTGGTACTCTAGTCCCGAATTGAATAATGAAAGACCCACCGTTGGCAACGGGGGTTTGCGTGCTGTTCACGGCGCTTAGAGGCTACCCATCTCGGAGCCGGTGCCCACGCTGCCCCCGCATCCATGGGAACAAAAGGCAGTGGCGGGTGTCTCATTTGCATATCACCGAGGATCTCTTTGATAAGTCCGAGTCGACTCGCAAAGTGATAGATGTATCAGTTTCGGCTCCATTCATCCGATCATTCCGATCCCAGCTCGAGAAGCCGAGATGCATAAGCCGCCTGATTTGTAACGTGCGGTTACATTTGTAACTTCACTCAAACGCGATCACAAGATGCTCAGAATGGAGCTGCTCCGGGCTCTCGATCGAATCAGCTGAGATCGAGTCGGTCGTTCTCAAAATGTTTAGAAAGAGTAATTTTATCGAGACCGCAAAATGGTTAATGAAGAACAATCGCCTTCAATTTGAAATGATACTGTGCAACGCACAGAAGCTCGAATAGTTGCTTGTCCAAATAATCATATTGTGTACTGTCGTATGGAGAGGCTTGAGGAAAAATCGCCTTCAATTTAAAATGATACTGCGCAACACGCAGAGGCTTGAATAGTTGCTTGCTCGAATAATCACATTAAGTACTGTCGCACAAGGAGACCTGAAGGCCTATGAAGAGCAATTTTATATATGGTTACGGATAACGAAGAAAAATCGCCTTCAATTTGAAATGATACTGTGCAATACACAAAAGCTTGAATAGTTGCTTGCCTGAATATCCACATTGAGTGCTGTCACATCAGGAGACCTGAATGCATATGAAAAGCAATTTTCTCGTAGAACCAGAATGGATAACGAAGAGCAATCGTCTTCAATTTGAAATGATACTGTGAAACACACAGAAGCTCGAAGAGTTGCTTGCCCGAATAACCACATTGAGTACTGTCACATGAGGAGACCTGAGGGCATATGAAGAGCAATTTTCTCGTAGAACCAGAACGAATAACGAAAAATAAACGCCTTCAATTTAAAATGATACAGTGCAACACACAGAAGCTTCAGAATACATTTTTCCCATTTAAACTCAAAGTTGTATTATTTCAAGCCGTAAACGTGCTTGCAAACTTTCATTTACACTTTCCCACATAATAAGAACTTTCTTTTTGATGACTACATTACTGATGATCACCTATAAGTGCAAAAACTCACTAAATCCGCAAAAAGGGAATTATTTCTGGCCTAAAAGAAAACATACTTACTCCCTCACTCTGACAAACCCGAGGTGACTGCGTGAAGGATTCAAATCGGATCAAATCAAGAGAAGCTAGTTTTATTTATCGCCTTGACGCTTGAGTCTTTATGAGAATAACCGGACTTTTCAGAATGTTTTAGGCCTTCAAAATATGTTTTTCTGCTTGTACTTTTGGACGAAGATGCACCGATGCCTAAGTAATTCCGAGCCTCTGAAAACTAAATTATAGATTTCTGGGCGCTTAGGTGTTTTGGAGAATTGTCGTTTCAATTTCATGGACATTTAAAAAGTGAACTAGGGGCCTGTGGCCGCTACGCGGCCGCCAACCACTGAAAAAAAATTACACGTAAAAAATCGTAGACCAACCATGTTCAAGTTTTGTGAGAGATGAATGAATTCAAAACCCGAAGGGTGCAGTGTTGCACCCGAAAGAAAGCGTCTATTTATCTTTGATTGCAACGATATGCACCAATTTTATGTTTTATGTTTAATGAATGTGTCTAAAAAGTTACACGCAGTTTTTCTGAAAAGTTTCCGCGAATTTACCCAAATGATCTCAAATAAAAGTATCGAAAATTTCGACGCGATATTTTCGTTCGTTCAATTTTCTTTTAATGTAACCAAAAAATAATTAAGTACTATCCAAAATGTTTCCAATGAGGATACGAATTTTCCCTTTCATTATGGTAAAAACTGGAGCAGAAAGTCAAGAATGATGACTCACAGCCCTTCAGCATTCATACAGTCTTGTAGGCGCTAGCCGCTAACATGCGTTTCACGCCAACTGACCGGCTGCACTCCGTTTGGCGCAATGCGAGAAGTATTTATGCAGTCTTGTAGGCGCGAATATGGGCCCCACGCTTACCGCACTATTTGACGCAATGCGTGAAGTATTCCCACAGTCTAGCAGGCGCTAATATACGTTTAAAGCCAACCGCACTGTGTTTGGCGCGATCTCGCGTTCAAATAATTGCGGCATTGAATAATAGAGCTTAAAAGGCTCATGCTGTGTTTCGACGCCGTATGAGCATTCCAACGTTGCCTCGTTTCTCCCGATTGAATATTTTTTCAGAGAAAAGATAAGAAAGTTATTTATACCTACGACCATTATTCAATCTTTTCACTTCATTCATCATGAGAAGGTAAGATATCGATGACTTCAGACTAACCTAAACTAGCGTCAACATAAAAATACGTTTACTTTCTGACTGTCTCCTGTTTTGCAAAACTTCTACCTTAGATTAAATTCATTTTTAATTCGCGCATTCCTGTAGCAGATGTCAAGGTTTCTACTCGCCCAATCCTCGTATATTCTCTCAGACTTTTTTCGCAATCTTGGATTACCGCAATTCTGATCCTTGTCGTTTCATGGCATTCACTCGCCTATAGAAAGAGAATCATTACCAGCGGGCTGATTATTGAAATTGATAGACAAAGGGATGGACAAAAGGGCATAGGGAGTATGGAGCGATCCTATTGGTTGAAATAAGTGGTTCCTACAGATTATGGGAGAAAATGATGAACTCACTATCGGGTTTTTCGTGGGTTGCCGTTAGTTAATCCATCACCTACTACCTTTATCCATTGCAAACACCCGCTTCCCCCAATAGGATCCCTCCATATCCGTTTTGTCTTCTTTGTCTACAGCTTTGTCAATCAATTTCAATAATTGTCCCGCGGGGCATTATGTGATTATGTTACAAAACATCTGATTGATCCATTATCTAGACAAAATATCTCATTTATCCATCGGCATGTCGAGGCAGTTATGCTGGTATGGACATGTGCAAAGAATGTCGGAGGAGAGGTTGCCCAAACAAGTTTTGGATTGGGTACCACCTGGGAAAAGGCGACGGGGACGTCCCGTGAAGGGTTGGCGGCAGGGCGTTGACGAAGAGATGTTGCGGTGCCAGTTGCCCGATAACCTCTGGGAAGACGGGCATGTGGCGTTTGGGTGTCGTAGAACGCCAGAGTGCGTTGTAAAGCGACTTAATAGAATCCATCAGTCTGCATTAGTTTTGATTAAGGTGATTCGATGGACGCCATATTTTGTGTCAGAACGGCATGCGATACTTCGCATCAACTGGTTCCAACTTTTCAGCTACTCGTCATTTTTCTCCAATTTTGAGATCGCAATTCTGTTGTCAGGAGACTAAAGCACTCACTTACCAATTTTAACAAAGAAATTCAACGTAATAAAGGCGTGGTTTTTTTTAGAGAGAAGACATCGCATTTGATACTGATATCGAAACTGCACTCAAATGCGATATTTTCTCTCTAAAAAAACCACGCCTTTATTACGTTCAATTTCTTTGTTAAAATTGGTAAGTGAGTGCTTTAGTCTCACGACAGCAGAATTGCGATCTCAAAATTGGAGAAAAATGCCGAGTAGCTGAAAAATGGAACCAGTTGATGCGAAGTATCGCATGCCGTTCTTACACAAAATATGGCGTCCATCGAATCACCTTAAGCAGTCAAATATCTTTGGCTAAATATTTTGAAATGTCACCCTTATTTCCCGCCGTTTTGCGTTATTTTAACTAAGTTTCAGCATTGCTGTTGTTGTTTTATTTGATTGGTTGTATTTTTGCTGTTACAGGCGTCGGGACGATCTGAGGCTGCGGCCGAGCCGGTACAACTCGATGACGTTGGACGTGAACGGGAAGGTGCACCTCTCGATCGCCGGGATCACGATGCGCGACGCCGGCAACTACATCTGCACGGCCAGCAATGACGTCGGCAACGCTGAAACCAGGACCAAGGTCTTCGTCGAGCGCTCAGACACCCCAAGGGACCCCAACGCCCCTCCCGCCATGCAGGAGGACCTCAAAGTGTAAGGAACATCACCCTGATTGACTCTCATAGACCTCCTACCCTCCAATGAAAGCAGATTGTTGAAATTGATAGACAAAGCGATACACAAAGAAGACGAAAGGAGTTTAGGGAAAACCTGGAAATGTCAGAGAAAATGACAAAAGTTAATGTCAGGGAAAAACAGTCAAGCCACACTGAAAAAAAAATCTCGGTGTATTACTAAGAAAAGGGTAAAATTACCAAGAATTCAGGGTTCTATTTGATCCCAGTTTTTTCTTGGTAAAATTATTATTTATGGAATCGGTAATTTTACCGAGATTTCTCGGTAATTATTGAACCTTCTCGGTAATTTTACTGGACCTTGGTAAAAATGCCAATATTTTTTATCGACTGTGGTAGAATTACCGAGATAAAATGGCAAAGTTACCGGGAATTGATTACCAATAAAAGTGGTATTCTTACCTGAAAAAACAGTAAAAATATCGGTTTTTAGGTAATCTTACCAGTCTGTCTTGGTAAAATTACCAATAATTAGTAAAAAAAGTGAGATGGTAAAGGTACCAACGGACCTTGGTAAAAACGCCGAGGATTTTTTTTCAGTACAGATTGTTGAAATTGATAGACAAAGCGATGAACAAAGAAGACGCAAGGAGTTTAGGGAAAACCTGGAAATGTCGGAGAAAATGACAAAAGTTAACGTCAGGGAAAAACAGTCAAGCCACCCTTATTTGCTCTCTTTAATAGGTTTAACTATACAAATTTTGCCTAGAGACGATTTAAAATTGCGTCTTTTTAACAATCTGGCATATCTCCAACTGTCAGCGGGCTAATTGTTGAAATTGATAGACAAAGCCATAGATATGGAAGACTGTAGGGGTATGGAGCGATCCTGTTGGTTGAAATGTGTGGTTTCTACAGACCAAGGGGGAAAATAATGGATTAACTATAGGGTCTATCTCTGATGGGGGTGGAGTATTCGCCGCAACATTGTGTCTTCGACAAAACCATAGATAAAGAACACTTATTAAGAAGGATGGAGCGAGCCTGTTGGTTATAATGAGTAGTTCTTATAGACCAAGGGAGAAAATAATGGACTAAATATAGGGTCTAACTCTAGGGAGGAGGAGGGGGACGTTGATAAACGCCGCAACATTGTCACTTTGAAATTTTGCTCCTTGTCAAGTCGGTCTTAAGACCGCGTTCATACCGGGGAACTAAGTTACTAAATGGCACACACTCAAAATTCTCAAAAATCTAGGGAAAAAGGATGGCATTCTATTGTTGATATATTTCAGGTTAAAAATAACACTGAAAATATACTCCGAATACTGTATATATGTATCCTGAGCTGAAGACAGCTCTCGCGTGCATCAGAGCTCATTTTGTAACTCTGATCATAATTTTTGGAATTTTTGCCTTTGTTTTCCCTATACAACACTGTGAACCTAGCACTATTGTTCCATCCTATATGAAAATTTAGTCAACCCAACAAAATTTTATGTCATCTTTCACAGGCCTTTCGAGAACACCCTCTCAAAATTTCACACGAAATTTACCAACGAACGTCCTCTAAAAGTAATAAAATAGATCAGACATTTTTAAACACCGCAATAGAAGTGCGTATTTCCGCAGTTTCACCATCAGCATGTCTCTTCTCACATTTTTTATCCTTCTGAAACAAGACGCGACATTGTTGGGCTTACAATTCTATGGTGCGGCCATCGATAACATCGTCTTCCAAGTTTTTAACATATGCTGCCCAAATGCACATTACCGAGTGTTTTTTTCTGGTATTTTCCTTGTTGGCCGTTTCGCGCTCGTTCTAGGGATCAGCGCAACACTCGAGGTTCAGCGCCGCACAAGGAACAAATTAATGAGTGAGGTTTCGACAAAATGCGGAAACTTCAAAAGCCTTTATCTTCATCAATACAAAACGTAGAATTTTGAAAGTGATTCCGTTGGCTTCACCGCATAGTATCTTGTGCGAAACACTCCTTATGATTCAAAATTCCATGAAATAAACATCAAAACTTGTAATTCCGTCTAAAAATTGTATGTCCAACTTCTCTGAATGGTTTGTCCCAGTGTGCGCCGAATGAGTCCGCAGGCGAACCCTATAAGGGCTTTTAATGGCACGTATAATCACTCTCCACCGCTTGGCAGATCAATAGGTTCCTTTGAACGCAATCCGATACCCAGATCTGATTATTCTCTCCTGTACCTATAGAGTAATGCACGGTAAAATAGCCGCTTATCTATTCGAGCTTTCGACTAAAATAGAAGCCTTCGTCCTGGGGCTACTGCTTGGTTATGATTGCCAGTTGTTTGAAAAATTGGACTTTTTTCATAGATAGGATTACGGGTTGTAGCGGATTTAACGTTACTTAAGTGGCACGGAAGTTATCAGAGGTTTTCCTCCCCTAAAAAATTGTTCTTTTCTTAAGATTTTGCTGAAATGCGATCTCCACTTGGCTCACAAAAAAAAGTAAGGTGATTTGATGGACGCCATATTTTGTATCAGAACGGCATGCGATACTTCGCATCAACTGGTTCCATTTTTCAGCTACTCGGCATTTTTCTCCAATTTTGAGATCGCAATTCTGCTGTCGTGAGACTAAAGCACTCACTTACCAATTTTAACAAAGAAATTCAACTTAATAAAGGCTTGGTTTTTTCAGAGAGAAAACATCGCATTCGATACTGATATCGAAACTGCACTGGAATGCGATATTTTCTCTCTGAAAAAACCACGCCTTTAATACGTTGAATTTCTTTGTTAAAATTGGTAAGTGAGTGCTTTAGACTCCTGACTACAGAATTGCGATCTCAAAATAGGAGAAAAATGACGAGTAGCTGAAAATATGCAACTAATTGATGCGATACATCGCATGCCGTTCTGACACAAAATATGGCGTCCATCGAATCACCTTAAGACTAGTTTAACTTGAAATCATTATTATCTCAATTTTTTCAAAAACTGCACTTATGCGTCTTGTCCTCCAAACCCTCATTTCTTGTATCCATGAAATCCGATTTTGTAAAAGGATGAATTTTACCCAGAAATCTGGCTGCGGAGCCTAGGATCTTATCACATTTCAGCCGGGACGCGGGCTGTTTTAAGTTATGAAGTAGTCGTTCTTCCCTTCTGGGATTGGTAATTACTCCTGTAACGCCTCTTTGTGACGCAAGCCCCCGCTTCGACTTGATGCATTCTCACGCGCATTTTTGGCATTTTCCACTCGGCCGTAGCGTGTCCACTTCTCACCTCCACAGCTTGTTCCACCGCTCAAAACAATACCTTTTTTCGACAACGTCCTCAGAAAGATGGGAGGGGGTTCCTCAACACTAGGTAGTCTATGTACTCATTGGTAGATCCAGCAACTTGATCCAGCAGTAGATTTTGATATAGAGATTTTGAGAGATTTTTTAGGGAGAATCTTAGAGAGATATTTTGGAGAAATAGAGATTTTGATGGATCCAGCAATTAAATATCTGATTGTATCAAGAGTATTTTTTCTTGTCAATGTTTTCAAGAGTCTAGACTCTAGATCCAATGTTTTTTTTTTCCAGTAAATTTCGCAATCTTTGAAGGAAGTTTCGTTCCTTCGTCCAGGAAATGACGAATTGGAGGATTATTTTGTTGTCCAACTGTTTCAGATATTCGAAAGAGCCTAAATTCTTGACGAAGCCTCTTTCCGCAGAAGCGGTTGAAGGTGACACTGTTATCATTCGTTGTGACGTCATTGGAGATCCCAAGCCTGATGTGGTCTGGCTTCGAGACTGGTTAAAGGTAGGATGCTTTTAACTTTCTCCGTCAATATAGTGTTCATATTTCTCGCATTTATGATACGTTCGCACAAATTGGAGAAGCGCCGCTTTGTATTTTGTGTCTTGTGATTTCGTCGACACCACCCACGCATTTGAGATGGAGGAAAATGAGAAAAACTGTTTTATATCGCTAGAGATTGGGGACTTTTCCTCTTTTCCAAGGCCCAACAGTGTACTCACGTTGTATGCACTCATAGAAAGAACGAGTCAACACACTTTTTGAATCATCGATCTGCAAGTCTCTAGAAAATTTTTGTAAGTACACGGAGAAGAAAACCTCGTGCGTGGGACCCGAAGTTTAGGTCTTATGGATCTCTGAAGTTTTCGGATTGAGCATCTGAACACTTTAGGTCTAGCTGTCGAGGTTCGAATCACACATCTGAAACTCCAGTTCTTACATCTGAAGTACTTCAGATGTGAGAACCGAAGTTTTTCGGATGTGAGAACCAAAGTTGTTCGGATGTGAAAACCGAAGTTGTTCGAATGTGAAAACCGACGTACTTCAGATGTAAGAACTGAAGTTTCAGATGTGTGATCCAAACTATCCAAACCTCAGCAGCTGGACCTAAAGTGTTCAGATGCTCAATCCGAAAACTTCAGAGCTCCATATGACCTAAACTTTGGGTCTCCCGCACGAAGTTTTTTTCTCCGTGTACAGCGGGATTTTTCAAATTTAACAGGTATAACTGACATTTTGCAAGAAATTTGGTTGCATCACTAGTTTTATCTGAACTCCAGTTTGAAAGAAATGCGGTGGCACTTTCTGACTGAAAACTTAGGGAAAGTAGAAATGGATTGACACAAAAGGGTATGATAGCAACGTACTTTTATACTTCGCCTTCAATTTCCGAGATAGGTGACAAAATATGCGCAGCGATATTTATCTATTAGAGGATTTAGGTCTTGTGTTGTCGACAAAGCGTGCTCGAAGTAGTGGTTCACTAAACTTTGTGTTTTTTCCTTAATATTCTGAAAGTATCAGGTGAGGAGATTACGTGGGGATTTATTAGGTATTTTTGGAGCCAAAAGCCCAGACAAGTCAATACTACAAGCTACTACGGCGTCAACCACTCGCAACCCGCAGTTGATTCTCCCGTAAGCTGTCCTGTTAAAAACTGTCATTTGGTTCAGACTTCCGGCGAACAAGGGGCTCGAAATGGCCCATTCGTGGATTGATTTCTTCGGCGCTCCAGTACACTGCGACTCTATTGTACTTGATGAGAAAACGCTACTGAGCGGATGATTATGTCCGCGAGAATTTTGTATGCATTTATGCGCAAAAACGTGAGGAAATTCGCTGATTTTTGGCCGGACGATGGCGCGACGCGCGCAGCCTCTTGACGATCGAGAATCTGAACATTCTTTCGGTGATCGCTCGCTCGTCCGCAGCACAGGAGCGTGCCCTATCGAAACCGGACATGTCGAACTCGGTAAACTCTAGCAGCGCTCTACACAACACGAAAGTGCTGCCGTGCCAAGTAAAAACGCCGTATGGACATTCTAGAGTTGCCAAATTTCCTTCGCTAAAATGTTAATTTTCAAAGCAACTTATGAATATTTTTCCTTGACATTTTCAGGAACTTTAGGTGAAATTGCGAACAAAATTATCTAAAAAAGAAGACGAAAAATATTCATAATTTTGCCCGAAAATTTGCGATTTATCGAGGGAAATTTGGCAACGCCTGAAGGTTTATACGGCGTTTTTCCTTGGCACAGCAGAGTAGAACTATCCATCGGAAGGACATTATTGGCACCAGGCATTCGCGGATTCATTCATTGTTGACAAATGGACGTATTTATTCCATAAGGAATAAACGTATGTGCAAATGCATTGTATGAAAAGGAAGTAAAGTATGTATATGGGATTTACGTTTTTTGTAGTTCCTTTTGATTTAAATCGTGTGCACGTAGTTCTTTTAGCATAAGCCAATACAAATCATCTATTTTTGCGCTTATTACTCTATCGTATTGTTATCATAAACTCTTTGGCAACTCAAATTTTCATCGTTTGTCACCGCAGTTCTATCGAAAAATATTTTAAAGTTGGTGTAGAGAGATCCACTGGGCAAATCTCCCTAAGTCTTTATTCATTATAGTATTGTTTGTATTACTTTCGGCCTGGCCGTATCTTAGTGTCATTTATTTCTTCTTTGAGTTTATATCAAAGATTCCACTCTTCTTCGTATAGCATCGTAACGCAGTCTTAAACCCTCACCACTGACTAGTGCGTTATGTTATTGTTGAAGAGATGATTTCTTTATGGGTATCAAAAATTTTCGCATTGTTTTAGAGGAAATTATCGGATTTTTGTTGGATTTGGCAACGCAGGCATCTGGTCGTAACTCGGTTCCGAGGGTCTATCCTTGTAACTATGACGCAAGCAATTTAGGATTCCTGTCGCATGAGTTTTTCCTTTGACGTCCACCATGACGTCAAAATAAACTCATACACTCTCTCTCATGTCTAGGGTACTTTAAACGCACCATACGATGGATATGTGGAACAGTGACCCACTACACTACTCAGACTTCTAGGAGTTAATTTTAAAAGTTTTTGCGACGCAAATTATGTTCCACGTAAAATTTTAATTAAATCACATGTAACAGATTGCTTAAATTCGCATTTCGTCCATCGAAAGAAGAAATCACTTCGTTCCATCGTAAGTCGTTGAAATTGCAAATTTGAACTTTCCGGATTTCCTTTGAAGAGCTCGTACTTCTACAACCATTTGAGAATGTTAATCTATCAAAATGTTGCGTACAAATACCTGACGAACTACGGCACGATAAGTAGCTCGGAAATTTTGAAAATTAATTCTAAGCTCCAGAGATTATTAAGTCACGGAGAGAAATGGATTGCCCTGGTAAAAATTGGCAGTAGAATCTGTGTTCCATAACACCATAGACCTACAGCCGGCTGTAAGATTTTCAATAGCTTCTATAGCCGGCTACACAATTTCTTATAGCCTTTTATAGCCGATGGCGATTAAGCAACAGCCAGGCGACAAAGTGTATGCTAAACGTTCCTAATTACGGATGCTAGGACTTAGTGAGTTTTTGGAATACTGCTCTCTTTTTGGGCCGTAGTATCTTGATTTATTTTGCGAGGAAAGCTCCGTACTTTCGATGGATGCCTGTCATTACTAATATATTAGAGCGCCTTCAGTCTCGTATGATGCTGTGCAATACCTCTGGAGTGAAATAGTTGCTTCAAGCGTCGTGACAGGCGGGCAGCCAGCGCGAAACGCGCATTGGCGCCTACAAACCTAACAGGGATACTTCACGCGTTGCGCAATGCGTGAAGTATCCCTGTTAGGTTTGTAGGCGCTGGTGTGTCGCCGCTCCGCTTTGTGTTAGTCTCTAATATTTAATCTGGCGGAGTCAGCGTTATTCAACTCATGATTTTGAAATGTTTGCACATCCTGTATGGATT